GCCCTCCTTGGCCAACAAGGAGCTCAAAACCTCAAGATCTCTACCTCTATTGGGTACTGGTCAGTTTAAGAGCTCCATCACATGAGAGCCAACATCATGCAGTGCTTCAGCCAGTGTTCTGAATCATTAACTGAGCACTGAAACCATGAGGAAAATTAACCCCTTAAGGACACATGACATGTGTGACATGTCATGATTCCCTTTTATTCCAGAAGTTTGGTCCTTAAGGGGTTAAAACCTTCCTCAAACACAACCTCCTTCCCCAACACATTTCAACACTACACACACAACAATCAGTCATCCACAAACAAACATACACACACTACACTCAGACTCCTCCACACACAAAATTCAGCCACCACACATACCTTCACATAACACACTCAGTCATCACATACACATAACCTTACAGAAATGGAGCTGAGAGGTCTAGGAGGGTGCTCCGACCGGGCATTCTTCAATCTTAATCAAATTTTGGTTACACATTGTCTAATACTGAAGCTATTTACTTTTTTTCGAAGAATAGAATAAAGTATGTCAACGTATGCCAACTTATACCAAACATGTAAGAGCAAATTAGCTTTTTCTGATCTTCTGACTTTTAAAAGTAGTAGGTGACTTTGAATCTAAACATAGCTGAATTGGAGGTTATTTTTCCCTAGCTAAGTATTTCAGCTCTTTTGGGTAAAAACAAACTGCAGAAATGAAGTATTAATGAGGTGTAAATGTCATTAAAATGTTTCTAAAAGAAAACATAATATAACAAAATAATTCACTGTGCCTTTAAAACTAAACTGCCCTCTAAACAATGTGAGCTGCTTTTTGTTGTTAGCGGAATACACTGTGTTACCAGCGCTCTGAAGAAATTTCCTAAATTCCTTCAATGACAAAGAAAATCGATCATTTCCCCTCTAAGCAGAATTAAGCTAATGGATCGTAAAAAATAAATTCTTAATGCAATTACCCCACGCTTTGGAAATACTTAGCAATTGGAGACATTGATGTTTGCACGCCTTCTTTTTAAAAGGATTTATCTAATACATAAGACATCTGTGAAGAGCACAAAGACCGATTTTTGAAGGATAGAATGGAACTGAAAAGTCCACTTTGTCCTGCCCAAATAATCCTATTCCCTGATCTTCCACTGCTGTCCCATTTATTTGTAGTCAGTTCTATTTAAAATGTTACAGATGAGAGAGGTGTAGGGCTATTAATTGTGAAGTGGAGCTGCTGTGAGCAGGGGGAGAAAAGTTAAGTTCTAAAGCTTTATTTTACTTTCTTAAAGGGACACTGCATCTTAATAAGGAATAAAATACTCTACTGTTAGGAATACATGTTTGTTTTCCTAACAATAGACTGTTCCCTTAAAGTGGAGCAAATATCAATGAAATTCCATTGGTGACCACAACTGAAGTGGTAGGGAGGTCAGAGATTAAAGGAAAATAAATATTGGTTAGGTATAAGAGTTACCTCCTAAAATACAATAGAAAAAACACAAAGGAGGTTTGAGATTTTATAATTGGTAAAAACAATAAAAATGTAACAGACTACATAGCCATATCTCTTTCTATAAACCATCACATTCCTTTTGTATATTTGAATGCTAACACCATCCTTTAGCTATTTGAACCCTTTAAATTAAGGGTCCCTAGAAATAGTGGCATATAATTCCCTTAAGATGGCATGGAACATCCTGGGATTTTGTTCCAGGCAGTGTTATGTGTTTATGGAAGCATTCTACAACTGGGCAACCCTCTGTCAGCAAGGGCAGGATTCTGGGCTCCAATCTGGATCATGCAATTGGACCAACTGGATCATGCAATCGGCGTCTGATCATTGTGTGTCACCAGACAAACAAAGCTGCTACAGCTCTGTGAGAGACTCTGTGATCTGTGTCATCATCTGTCACAGAGCCCATTTTAGTATAAATTTGGCAATTTTGGTTTTGAACAACGCTTTAATACACTGTTTAGTGTCTACTTATCTTTTGTTTCTTTTTTTTATTGTTTCATTTTTATTGTATTTTCAATTTGCTTTACATGAATGCGACAAGTCCGACATAAACGTTTTGACAAAAACATTGTGATAGGTCAACATACATCACAGATGGAGTACAGCGTGTATTGAAGGTTACATTACTGTATCCACAAAACATATATTTCAATGTTACACATTGTGTGCTACTTTGTCATTTTCATACTGTACATGGCCCCAAACTCCAATGGTCATGAAGGGTTTCTATGTCAAACTTGCAGAGTCATATGCTGTGCATTGATGAAAATGCATAACTCATGACTGTTATATAGTGACTTTAACCTCAAAACGAACTAAACTTTAAACGAAAAGAGAAATGCACTGAATAAAAGGACTTACCTTTCCCCTGTATGTACTATCCCTGAGCCACTCTGCCAGTCTCCCTACCATGTGCAAAAAAGGTGGGCATGTCCGTCCCGCTGGCCTACCTCTTGTGTTCTCTAGCCCTCAGTGTTAGTATCTGAGCCAGGTATATTGTAGTCATGTATCGTACTTCGGGGTGTTAAGCATCACCTTCCCCTTTCCCATAAGTTTCCATGACTGAATTCCACTTTGCCCTGATTTGTTCATAGACATGGTTTTTGTTATTCAGTCAATGAGCCATTTCTTCATATATCCTGGTCCTAGTGAGTTTTTCCAGGACCAGGGACAGTGGTGGGGCCTGCTTATTTTTCCAAGAGGATGCAATGCTGCTTTTTGCAGCTATCATTATATGTATGATTGCTGATCTTTCCGCTTTGTTTATTACTTTTGGAAAGCGTGCAAGTCTGTTGTAGACTAGGGAATGGCAAAAGCCCGGAGTCCCCAAACAGTTGTTCAATTCTCTGTATTCCTGCAGTGATCCATGTGTGGATCAGAAGGTCCACAGTGTGGTACTGCAAGCATTATAAGGGAACATACCATAACAGGGCATTCGGAACCAACAGAACTCCAGCCCATTTATTCCAAACCTGTAGTAATAATGAGGTAGTGGACAGTGGCTGTATATGGGTAGGTTGTAGGTGTGATGGAAGCCACAACAGGTGAAGTATAGAGTGTGGAGCGACTACAGAATTTTCTAATGTGTACCATAGGGGCTATTCTGTCTTTTCTTGAAGGCCACTTATTTGTACTAAGACAGTGGAAAAGTAATATTTGTGGAAATCTGGAACTCCCATGGAGTTGAAATTGTAGCGTTATAGCTGACATGCGTGGTGGTCTACCTTTCCACATATGCACGTTTATTACCCTTTTGAAGCTTGTGAGGATACTTTTAGGTATTTCTACTGGGAGGGTGCAGAAAAGGAACAGCAGCTGGGAGAGTATTATCATTTTAACAGAGCTGACTCTCAGAAACCATGAAATAATATTATGTTCCCAGGATTGTGTTGTTTGTTGTAGTTTAGTAATTAGTTTAGCATGGTTAATTTTAGTTTAGTGGTTGCAAGTTGTATGCCTACATATGTCAGGGAGTTATCTCTCCAATCGAAGGAGAATTGTTCTGATAGGGTGTCTTTGGTTGATTTTCGCATATTAATTGGTAGTACTTGGGTTTTGTTAGTTTTATTCTTATAGTATGAAATCCATATGTGCCAATAAGTGCATCAGTTGGGCTAGGGATTCTGTTGGGTTTGTTAGCAGAAGGAGAATATCATTAACAAAGAATGCTATTTTTTTGTTCTCCTACAGCTGTGGATATTCCCTGTATCCTATCGTGGTGCTGTATATGTTTAACCACTGGTAGTGCGCAGATAAATATTAATGGCGATAGGGTGCAGCCTTGGCAGGGTACCATTGGATAAGAAAAATATTTTGGACAAAAAGCCGGTATTAAGGATTTTGGCGGACGGCATTGTGTAAAGGGACAAAATTGCTCTTAAGAAGTTTTTCTGGGAACTAAATTTATTGTTGACTGCTGTCATGTACCCCCCAGTGCAGGTGATCGAAGGCTTTTTTGGCGTCTAGCAGCAGCAAAATCCCCAACCTTCTTTCCTGTTTCATCATTTCAATAAGATCTAAAAACCTTCTGGTATTGTCTCCTGCTGGTTGGCCTGGTACAAAGCCTGCCTGTTCTCTAGATACCAATTCAGGCAACAGTGGCTAGGGTTATAATGTTTGCCCCCAGCATTTCTGGGGGAATATTGCCCATTGACATAATGTCATTGAATACGTCTGTGAAATGTGATGTCAGGATATCCGCGAAGGTTATGTAGTATATATTGGAGTAGCCATCGGGCCCTTGAGCTTTATACTTCGGTAGGGACAGTATAGCTTTGCTGACCTCTTCTTGGGTAAAGGGCGCATCTAACCCTTTCTCCTCAATGTGTGAGATGTGCGATAGATGTACCCGATCAAGGAATTTTAAGATATTGTTTGTGTGGGCTGTGGCACTGTGTTGTCCTTACTCAGGTTGTATAGTCTGTCATAATAATCAGCAAACGCATTCAGTATGCTGAATGGGTTCGTCCGCTTCACCCCTTCCAAGTTAACAATAGAGGTGATTTTGGCCTGGGTATACTTTTGTTTTAAATTTGATGACAGCAGTTTACCTGCTTTATTACCCTGTTGGTAGTGTAGCTGTTTAAGTTTCGGCATATAGTGCTCTGTTGTGCGGAGCTGAATGCGATGGAGGTTGTTAAATACTCTACTTAGTTGTTTGCCCAGCTTCTTTGATTGTTTAGTTTTGTTCTGAGCTTCTAAACCTACTATTTGTTGAGTTACCCTACCTTGTTTCGCCTCATACCTTTTCCTCTTTTTAGCTCCCAATTGTATGAGAAGACCCCTCATAACAGCCTTGTGTGCCAACCATTTGGTTGATAACGGTGTTGCGTGTTGTGTATTGTCTATAAAGTAATTTCAAAACTATCTTTTTATTAAATACAGTATTCAATCTTAAAATATACAGTTTATAAAACGGGGGGAAAAAAACATGCATAATAACAAGCAAAATCAGAATTAAAATAAAATGTAAATTTATTAAATTGTTATGGCAATCTTAAATATCGTTCACGTGGCCATATATGAACAAAATACATAACAAGTTTAAGTGGCAGAATTGTGATGTTATTTGTGTAGGACACATGTTCTGGTATAAATTATCCCATCCATGGTGTATCATATAATAATTGTGATAAATACAATGGTAATAACAGACAATATGTCCAGCATTGCTTTTCTGAAGTTTATTGTGTTTGCAGTCACCAACCATTAGTCCTTGTCTATGCAGTAAAGCGGTGTTTTGCTGCATTCCACACCCTCGTCGATTAGCTAGTTGCTGTTCATTACGCTGTTGTTGAAAAAAATGTGGAATAGTTGTTTTTTTCCTGCGCTTTACAATGTTGTATAAATGTAGACAAAAATAATAACAATTAAGTTGAGTATAGTCCCAATAATTCCAAGCATTGCCAGAATGGTTTCTTCTTTACTTTCCTTCTCTTCACTGTTTTTGTCTTCTTCATCATTTCCACCAGTGATTACCATCTTGGTCGGGAAATCCAATGTACTCCTCTGTCTAACCTAAAATTACAAAAGATCTCCATTAAACATTTTAATCGTCTGCAAGCACTTTCCATAATCATTGGTTATAATAAAATAAAATGTGAAAACATGTCTCTATGTAAATGCGAGTTTATTTCTCAGATAAATGAGTAGATAGCCCACACAATACTGAAGAAAAAAGGTGGACCCCTTGTTTTTTGGGGATAGAAGATGACACAGGGATAACTGCTGTGACACTTTGTCCTAAAACTAGGTATTGGCAGCTGTCTTAATCGAGCAGACAGGGATTGCATCATCAATCTAAACATGTATCCATTACTAGTAATGTGAACATGTGATTTTAAATATAGCTCAGTGTCGCTTTGTACAATAAAAATAAAAAAAATACATGTATGAAATACAATTTAATATACACAGTTACCACCATGTAGTTTATTGACAGTCCACAACTCCTGCTGCATACTGAATGTAGAGGAAGCAACAAATGACACTTTGAGTTACTATATATACATCTTCAGTCCATTTTCCTATTAAAGAAACAGAAGCACAGACTAAAGGGGTTAAGACTAAATTAAAAGTTTTAGAATCTTATTTTCCCCCCAAACCTATGGTACACTTAATATGCACCATGTGACATCATTAAAATGATGAGTAAATATATACACATGGACAGATCTCGTTACAAACAGCTCACTACCAGGGCACGGACTGCTTGCTTATATCACACACAGCATGCTCACTGCCTATTCTATTCTAAACAAGCCACGTCCTACCTTTTTGCCACCCACACCACTGATCAGCCCCATGAACACACATAGTATGCATAGCTGTAACCTTTGGGCACCCGTGGCTGTGATTGGATTGTGAGGTTTGCAAGTGATGTCAGAGGGGAATTTTTTTATGGCACAACACATTTTATATTAAAATATTGGAGAGGGTAAAGTTATCCTTAATTTGCACATCTAAACAATGGTTGATGAAGGACACTGTGGCAAGTTAAATATTGGTACTGGTATTACATACTTACCTGGAATCCAGCAGCAATCAAAACTCCCTGTGCTGGTTTCCATGCCTCCATCTATGTCACTGCTGCCAGCTCGTGGTCCAATCAAATGCTTCTTATAGAGAAGCATTTGACTGGCCTATTTTACTGACTCAGAGGGCACGCAGGATCTCTGAGGTAGGGAGTGAGGCTGGACACAGGCAAGGAGACAGAGAGAGGGAAACAGCAATTTAAGATCACAGAGGCTCAAACAAGGGAGGAAAGGGACATCTGTCACCAGAGTGTAGTGCGCTCTGATAACAGACGTATTTTATCCATGTGTCACATGTACCATGTACACCTTGCCCCGGCATAAAAGTGCAAATATCTCAGTATATGCAGCTTTTCACACAGAAATGCTACACATTTCAAATGCAGACTCCTACCACCATGACCACTTCTTAAAGCAGAAGTAGTCATGGCGGTTAGAATAACCCTTTAACCAGCCATAATTAATATGCAGCTTTGCAACATAGAAGGTTCATTTGATACATTTTTGCACCAGTGTGTTTTTTTAAGTGAAATGTCTTTTTCCAGATTTTTTATTTTTTTTTAAGTTTAAAAGTAGTTTAAGAAAATAAAATAAAAATCTTACAGGCTTCGAATCCTACTGCAAAAATAGTTAAGAGGACACTATAGACACCCAGATCACTACATCTTACTGAAGTTGTCTGGGTGCAGTGTCCCTGTTCCCTTAACCCTGCAATGTAAATATTGCCATTTTGGAGAAACTGCAATATTTACTTTACAATGTTAAGACTGCCTCTGGTGGCTTTCTACCACATAGCCATTAGTGGCGCTTCCTTAAGTATAGCAGAGTTTAACCCTGTGAAACGAGGCTGGACATCCTCACACTTTGTTCGAGGACATCCAGTGTCACGCAAAACCCCATAGGAAAGGATTAAGTCAATGCTTTCCTATGGGACTGCCCTAATGCGTGTGCTGTGCTCGCCACACATGCGTTAGGTTCCCCCCATCAGCTGATGTTGACGGGGGAGACATGTGACCCAGCACTGAGGGACACTGGCTCTGGAATAAGGTAAGTGAAAGAAACATTTTTTTTTTACTTTTTCATGGACGAGGGGGAGCGTGGGGTAAGAGTAACACTATAGTGTTAGGAATACATCTTTTTTATTCCTAACTCTAAAGTGTTTCTTTAATAGAATTACTAACAGAAAAACAAAAAAAATAAAACACAAATAGAGCAAACTCTGTGCAGAACCCAAACGAAAAAAAGCTCTTTTGGAAATTTTGCACTTTTCTTTGATGCATAGAAGATATAATTTGTTATTCAGTCATAACATTGATGCTCAATCTCCGTTACTGACATAGTCAAATTAGGAAGAGGAATCTGCTAGGTTTGCATTCACAAATACAAAGCAAAGCTCAGTGATCACATAGTAGAAGCAATTGGTTTAACAGAACGAGACATCTCTCGAAGCGCATATTTAATGCTCAGTGAATAATTCTAGGCTTCTTCAAGGGCAATGATAAGAATGCATTGAGGATACACTAAATGCACGTAATGTAAATGGAGACATCTAGCAGACTGATACTCACATCTAGGTGGTGAATGTGAGATTAATGAAGTATAATTCTCTTGACTGGATGCCAAGTTCATTAAAGATGGAATCAGCAACAAAGCTGAATATTGCAATCGGCTCAAACTGCCACCCAGAGTCGACTGGTCTCATGGACAACACACTTCTCCAGACTTGGAACAATTATTTGTTTGGGCCATTCTGACCACTGCACTATCATTAAATTAATCAGATAAGACCCTTATATACACTATGATCACATGATCTAGATAAACCCTATAAGTAGACAGATATTGAACTAATCTTGATCAAACATATTTAAGCCCCATTTCCAAGATGACACTGTCATCTCTCCGCCAAGTGAATGATCAGCACATGAACCAAAAATCAGAGACAGAAAAACACTTATATGGAGACAAAGACTTGCATTATGTTAGTCAAAATCATAACAAAATATAAATGATAAAACAAATAGGCAGCAGACTATACAAGAATAGCAAACTGGATATCTGCAAAGTTTCTGAAACAAAATCAGGTTAGTTCTTTAATTTGTGGATATCAATTGTGGCGTTCTTGATATCCCAATCTAAAGAACTATACATTGAAAAAGTCTAGTTTATAAATGAAATAAGCGAGGGTGCCCTGGTCAATTTAACACCAAGAGACAGCCATATGGCTGACTCACTATTCCACATACCATATTCAACCCCTCTGCTGAATAATAGTGCTGTCTACCTAATGATTACATTAGAATTGAAGTTACTAAAATATAAGATGATTTACAGCCTTCCTGTTATATGTTCTACAGGTTCTAACCTCTAACCCTCATATCCCATGCCTCTAACCATTGTACAGCGCTGTGAAATTTGCTGACACTTTATAAATAATAATAATTACAATATTCATATGTCTTACATAACCTACCACCATAAAGAAATGTATTTTTAACTTGCCATATCTGGTTCATACAATGCCTGCATTGTCCCTAACATCTGCCCATCCAAAGATATCCAAAATGGATATCCAAAGTGGCATTCTTTAAATTAAAATATAAAATCCTAATGCAATCTGAACAATGCATAAGTGTTTTTTGGGGGGATTTTTATTTTACTGCTTTATACTGCTTTTATTATTTTATTTACCTTAAATACTAGTTCATCTGATAAAGCAGTTAATTTTATTACACCTTTGGACTTCATCCTGATCTTTCCATTGGAGCCTGGACACAATTCCTTTGGTGGGGAAAAAAATATCACCTGAGTGTTGTAGATTGCGCAAAACTCACTTTTTGCTCCTCACCTGCGAATACCTCTCCATTTTTTCTTATTAGTGTACAGTAATACCAGTGAGCACTATATTTTTTTATTTTTGTTCTTTTATATATACTATCAATTCATCTACAAGCCTGTGAGTGGGGTGGTGGGGTGTAACTCATCTTGAGCCACCATACCTGGTTGGAGGTCACCTGCACAGAAGCACTTTAATAATAGAAGACACCATATATTCATAGGCAGGGATTGTATTGTATCTAAATAGAACTATATTAGCTTTTAAATCTGTAAGTGCATTTTCACTTCTTATTTTGCCATTGTATGTGGGACATACTACACTATATTCTGCTGTATCTTTCTGTCTCCACATATCACTCTGAGAAGGCATCTACCTTAGAAACATATCAAGGCATTACTCCCTCTTTTTCTTCTTCTACATAGATATTCTAGATTTACAGCCATTCAGATGTCTTATAAACCCCACTTACCCCCCAATAAAAAAAACATATTTTTTAACTTGCCATAACTAGCACAAACAATGCCTGCATAATCCCTATCTTCACCTGTTCAAGTGGCATTATTTAAAGTAAAATATAAAATCCCAATGCAATCTTTGCACACACACTTTGACACACAGATGCACACACTGTGACACACAGATATACACACACACAGAGATATACACTGTGTGTCAGTGTGTGTATCTGTGTGCCACTATGTGCCACTGTGTTTGTATCTGTGTGTCTTACATACACACACACACACACTACACAAAGACACTCAGATACACACACTGGCACATACAAACACAGATACACACATCTTGACACACTGGCACATACAAAAAATGTCGCAATAAAAAAAAAATAACAACTGGAGGGGAAGGGAGGGTGAGGAGGGGGTTTCACGATGTTGATACACTATGTCAAAGGGTTCCACAGGAAAAATTAATTGGGAACCCCTTGTGACAGATCCCTCTGTTTTTGGAATTACTTCGTCTGTTTGTTCGTGCATTTCCCTGTCCGTACGGTCCCCATGTTATTTCCCCGTTTCACCAAAATATTTGCAGAACGGCCGGCCACCCAGCGGGGAAGTGTGCTGCTCGTTAACCTCTTGGCCTCATTAGAATGTTGTGGTTAACCACAGACACTTCCCCTTGTTAATGGTCGGCTGGGTGGTCATCGTTCGTATGAATGAACACGAGGCGGTGGCCATCTTGGACATGCGAACGCCCAGCGGTGTTCATCTGCGATTTTGTGGAACTAAAAACGGCTACTATTTTCACATGAACACCGCTGAAAGCCGCCGACCTCCCTTCATCTGTTCCCCTCTTCATACGAAAACCGTCTGTTCGGTACCTTTTCATACGAACAGAGCCACCCCAGATAGCTATCCCATGGAGCCCATTCGTATAACGAAAGACTATGTGAAAGATTTTGGCTCCATGGCGATTGAACTGTGTGTATGGGATCTGAGCGCTATTCGGTAATATTGTGCGCTCAGATCCAGGCTATCTGGGGATTCGTTGAATGTGGGGATTCGGTTCATGAGTTTTAAAGTTATGTATTTTTATTAACATGTATAAAATGGAGGTTATGCTCTATCCTCTGAGATAATTGAGTTATCTCCAGGATAGAGAGGAGGGTCCACATTGTCTAAAGGGGAGTGTTTATCGCTAAACTGTTTTCATTGGCTACTGTATTACTTTTGTCATGGTTTTCCACCAGGTCCCCTAGGGTAGTGTCCACCTGGTGGAAGACCTGCATAAATACCGGGCAGGTAGCCCACATTAAACCAGATTCCTGCTTGACCCTCAATACAGAGCCTTGTCTCGTATTTGGGGGGGATTATTCATATGGTTTTCCTGTTCGGCTGTTTGGAGTGTGGATTTCGTATGATTCCTTGTTCGGCTGATTGGAGTGTTCGGTAGCTGCCTTTGTATTCGGGAAGGAAATATCTCAAACGGCTTTAACCCCTTCTATACCCGGGGTGCCGTTACACCCCTGGTCTAGACTGTTCCAGCTAACCCTGTTACTCATAAGTATTACTCTGAATGAATTATTCACTGAAATTGATAGTGCAATCCAATTGGTTAGAGTCTTGCAAACATTCATCTGGCTATAAATACATAAAAACATTTTTTTTTTTAATTTATATTGCTTATCTTATAATTTGAATTACATTCCCAACTTCATCCAGCAATTCTCAACTGACTGTTTATTGAAACATCAGATTTTGTGGATAGTCCATATAGCAAGACCAATACTTACATATCCACCTGACCGTACTTAGTTTTACACTAGTTAAAAAGTTGTTCAAGCTCAAAGTTTTGTTGGTCAATCAGAAAGGAAAAGGGGAAAAAAAATAACAGGCATATTGTAGCTAGTTGTAATCTTTTGATACAAAATATCTCCTTAAAAGAAAACAAATAGTAAAAAGTAATGAAACAATTATTAGATTTGTACTTTTTTTCCTTAAAGGGGAACTTTTACTTCTCTGGAATTTACACTATTGAATAAAAAAAATTAAAAACCAACAACAACCCGTGTTAACATTTATCGTGAGATGCTCAGTTTCATATGATATAAAAATACGATTATAAAATTTAGCAAATTACATTATAATCCAGTTCAGACAATGCAACGCCATGGCAAACATTACAAAAATAGAGATTTTGTTTAATTTCTCCTCTTCTCTGTATGTTTTCTCTATGCTGACTGTCTGTTGCTAAGGACGTAGCTGATAACAATTATAATTGTAGAAAATAATCCAGGCACTCCAAATTGTTCCAAACGATAGGCAATTTTTATTGGACCCAAGAACCACACAACGTTTCGACCCCTTAGGGCCTTTGTCAAGCTACTGAACACATCTCTTTACAAACAATATATAGGTGCATAAAATAATTAACAAGTGATAGAATATGTGAATTCCTATAATCAATCAATTATACAATCAATAATAGTTAAACAGCTGTGAAACATAATCATCTCTCAAATCATTTTTACACATACTAGGAGTGTAACATCGTACAACATAGTCAAGCCAATGAGATAATAGATTCTTAAATTATTCAATTAGTGAAACAAAAATTTTTTTTTAAAATTTATATTGCTTATTTTATCATTTGGATTGCATTCCCAACTTCAACCAGCAATTCTTAACTGACTGTGTATTGAAACATCAGATTTTGTGGATAGTCCATATAGCAAGACCAATACTTACATATCCATCTGACCGTACTTAGTTGTACACTAGTTAAAAAGTTGTTCATGCTCAAAGTTTTGTTGATCAATCAGAAAGGGAAAGGGAAAAAAAAAAATAACAGGCATATTGTAGCTAGTTGTAATCTTTTGATACGAAATATCTCTTTAAAAGAAAACAAATAGTAAAAAGTAATGCAACAATTATTAGATTTGTACTTGTTTTCCTTAAAGGACCACTATAGTGCCAGGAAAACATACTCGTTTTCCTGGCACTATAGTGCCCTGAGGGTGCCCCCACCCTCAGGGACCCCCTCCCGCCAGGCTGGATGGAAAGGAAGGGGCCGGGCGGGGAGCTATCCTCCTCCTCTCCTCCCTCTTCTCCTCCTCTTCGGCTGAATGCACATGCACGGCAGTAGCTGCGCGCGCATTCACAATGCTTTCCTATGGACGCTGGCATCTTCTCACTGTGATTTTCACAGTGAAAAGCACGCAAGCGCCTCTAGCGGCTGTCAGTGAGACAGCCACTAGAGGCTGGATTAACCCATTTATAAACAAAGCAGTTTCTCTGAAACTGCTATGTTTATAGAAAAAAGGGTTAATCCTAGATGGACCAGGCACCCAGACCATCTCATTAAGCTGAAGTGGTCTGGGTGCCTATAGTGGTCCTTTAAAAGGGGAACTTTTACTTCTCTGGAATTTACACTATTGAATAAAAAAAAAAAAACCAAAAAAACAACAACAACCCGTGTTAACATTTATCGTGAGATGCTCAGTTTCATATGATATAAAAATACGATTATAATATTTAGCAAATTACATTATAATCCAGTTCAGATAATGCAACGTCATGGCAAACATTACAAAAATAGAGACTTTGTTTCATTTCTCCTCTTCTCTGTATGTTTTCTCTATGCTGACTGTCTTTTGTTAAGGACATAGCTGATAACAATGACTGACAGGGACAGTGAAGATGGGGGCACCCAGTTACAGGAGAAAGAAGTGTGGATTTCTACACTAAATTTCATTTTTTACTTCATTGAATTGGATAATTTAAACAATAGAAATAAAATGTCACTTACAAAAGAAGTGACTACAAAGATTTCAGAAACAACAAATAAGATCAATGCCATTCTAATTCCTAAAGTTAACTATGATCTACAAAAACTGAATCTAAAATGGTGTTCTAAAAGCAATAAAGCTGATAAAATGCTATCTAACAGATTGAAAAATCGAAGGGCCAGAATACAAAAAAGTTATAGTAGAATGCTGTAGTCAAAGATTCCCAATATCAATTGACAAAGCATTTATTTAACAAGTTTTATTCTTAGTTATACAATTTCCAGTTTGACTCCAGGGAGTCAGAAATAGCCGAATATCTAGAAAAACTACCAAACATAACAGATGAACAAGTACTGGAACTAAACTTATCGTTTCTGGCTCAGGAGGTCACTGATGTAATTAATATATCTAAGTTGAATAAGGCGCTGGGACCAGACAGCTATACAAACCTATTTTTTAAAGAAATTTAATAATGATTTAACACCACATCTAGTTGTACTATTCAATGAGATAGGCCAGCAGGCCAGCCCACCAAAAGAACTTCTACAAGCTTCCATTCCCCGATACTGAAAAGTGGAAAGATCCTACAAATCCCGCAATCTATAGACCCATATCTTTAATAAATTCTAATATAACGGGGGTAGAGCCTAACCTCTAAACTGTCTGGATGCGCAGTGCACAAGAGCCTGACAACTTGTTTTCAAATATTTTTATTAGAGTATATATATATATAAAGGACAAGAATATGACAATATATCAAAATAATACAGAAAAATAACACCCAAAAAATACATATATATAAATAAACATACACACATACATACATCATTTCAATTAGGGTTAAAAGCAAAGATAAAGATTAGAGATTAAGACCTGGGACTTCATAATTTAACTGATTCTGATACATTATAAACCTAATCCATCTTACTTCCAAATATATATATATTACTGTTAATACCTGTCCCTGTGTCATTATCCAAGTCTATTCTTAATTTTATTCTCAGCCAGCCATCCTCTTCTTTTTTTCTTTCCTCTAATATAGGACCCCAGATTTTCCAGAACTTGGACAAAGAATTAGTAGCCGAATATGCCATATATTCCATTTGACCTATATTTTAAAGCATTTTTAAATAACCTTGCATTGTAGGAACTTCAGTGCTCTTACAGTTTTTAGCAATACAAGTCTTAATAGCTATAAAGAAAAAATATATCAGTCTTTTAGTTTGTAAGGGAATTGTTATTGGATAATTATTTAATAGTGCTACCTCTAAAGAAAAGGGAATGCAGATCTAAAGTTTAGATTCAATAAAATCATATAATTTTTTCCACACCCAATACATTTTTTGGCAATCCCACCAGATATGTGATAGTAAGCCGATCTCCCCACATTCTCGCAAACAACGATTAGAGACATTTGGGTACATATGCTGTAATCGGACTGAGGATAAGTACCATCTAGTAAGCAGTTTGTATGATAGTTCTATATGGTTTGTACATCTTGAGATTTGTGTGGTGAATCTTAACAGGGACGTCCAATCTTCATCAGAAATTGAACGGGCTAACTCCTTTTTCCATCCTGATTTAAAGGAAAGTTTCTCTGAGCATGTTGAGGATATTAGGGATTGGTAACATACCGAAAGAAATTTCTGCCCTTTAGGTGCATTTTTTAATAAATTAGAAAAAACTTAATCTTCCGCTGATCCTCTAGATAGTGTTAAAGACGCCAGACAATGCCGAATCCTATTTGTAAAAATCACGGTGTGGAATATTATATTGTTACTGTAAAGAAGCAAAGGGCAATATGGTGTCTCCTCTTAGCATATGATTGATAGTTTCCACACCAGCCATCACCCAGCCTGAGATATCTAACTTGGTAATAGTTGTTTCTAAAGTCTCTAATGGAGCATATCATGAGATTGGTTGAAGTTGAGGTGTCTTTCTTCGCAAATTAAAGCGCCTGACAATTTGGGCCATATTTGGTGTGCTAAGCCTGGCCACCAAGCCACAAAACCTAATCAGTGCACTGCCTAAGTCAGGGATTCTTGGGCGAGCTTCCTGATGCCTCACCTGACACTCTACACTGTCGGGAACCATGAAAACTTTGTTGTGGCCTACTAAGGACTGAGAGGGAGAGAGACGGCCAATCTCCCCACTCTCCGGTTTGCAGAGTATACCAGCTCCACTCCTATCCCAACCATACCCCCCACCCTGGACAGGTGGGGGATATCTGCTATAAAAACTGCTATAATGGCAATCTATACAGAACCAGTGGCTAAAATGGTGGTCCTGGCATCTCCGCTGACTGGTTTAAAATAAAAAAAATGGAACGAGGCAGGGATGTCCCCCTGCACCCCTTCTATATATATTGACTCTTGAACGCCTTGCCAAAAGGATAAGATCTAATTCTCAAATAAAGGCTTTAAAATAGATCGTCTCAAATTAAAAATTATCATGTACGTGGATGATATAATTCTAACTTTAAAAGACCCAGTATCATTTTTTAGGGCATTAATTTTAGAGATAGGAAACTACAGTTAAGTCTCCAACTACAAATTAAACATCGACAAATCTCAAATTATGCCAATTAATCTAGAACATATTGAAATCTCCTATTTACAATCTATATATCCTTTTATATAGTCTCCGCATGGCTTTAACCCATTAAGGATCCAACTTCTGAAATAAAAGGAAATCATGACGGAATATGTCCGTCATGTGTCCTTAAGGGGTTAAATATTTAGGAATCTATTTCTCCTCAAAAACAAATGAGATAGCAGATAAAAATTTTGATATTCCATTTAAAGAGACTAGTCATAACTTATTAAATACATGGAAGCACATGGGTATCTCATAGCTGGGTAGAATTAACATAATCAAATCCTGTTTTACATAACTGGTCATATCTTTTCAGAATGATTCCCTTGTCTATATTACGATGGAGACTTAGGCAAATACACAGTATTTTTAGGAGTTATATTTGGGGCAAAAGAGACCAAGAATCCCTGCTTCTCATATAATGAAGAGAGCAAATAGAGGTATATTGTGGTTCCAAATATCATAAAATAGTATGAAGCCAGTAGAATATTTCATCTGCGGAGATGGCAATGTCACGTTTCTCACCGTGACAGCCAGACGAGGTCGCCCCAGAAGTGCCCAACAGGGGCTTTGAACCTGGGTGGTTTATGGTTCTAAGCCTGTGTTCCTGCCTCTAAGCCACTATAGTTTTTGGTTTGGCCTGAAACTTAGCCCTGCCATGTCTCCAGCACTGGGGGCTGGACTTAACCTGTGACTGCTCCTGTCAATCATGGTCCACCTGTAAAGTATCTCTGATTAGCCAGGTATAAGACACTGCCTCTCCGTGAGGGCAGTGTCAGTTCGTTGACTCTATTTCCTGTATTTGTATTCATGGTCCAGTGTTCTCCAGTCGGCTCCTGACCTTGGCTTTCTTATCGTGTATCCTGACTTCTGATACCCTCTGACTTTTGGCTTATCCTTGACGTTTCTCCTGTCTCTGTCCTTGCTGTACTGCGACTTGGAGCAATATCCTGCACAGCCCCTGTGCACAGACTTACAGACCAGGTGAATTCTTACCTGACCACCTTGGTCTGTGTTTAATTGTAAGGGTTAGCATATATCTCTGCCTACCGGTCTCCCACCTCAGGTAAGCTGTGACAGGCAGGACCCGAGTTCAAGAGAAGACCCTTGGTTTAAAATTGAAGTATCCATGTGTAACAAAGGAGACCTGTAACAGTGAAGTTGGCTGTTCCAAGCACATTTGGTGGAACTGTACATTGATTACACCCTTATGGAAAAAAGCCTCAAAAGAAATTTTACGATTGAATCAGGAAGATATGAATCTTAATTATATGGTCGCTTTTTTTCATTCCAATCTATCTAGATGTTTCTCACCAAAAGATGTCTAATAATACAATTTATAATGGCCATAAAAGTGCTATCAAGATTTTGGCTGCAGCAAACTGTCCCTAATTGGTCCCAGGTCCTGCTTCAACTTAAATGTAATATGGAAAGTGGTATTTTCATACAATCAGGAGGAGACTGAGCTATGAAACAAAGATGGTTTCCCTATTTAGGGACCTTAATCTAGTTAAGCCTTTATACTAAGTGGTTAAATAAGTGAACCTCTGTATTTAATTCTTCAAGATTCTTTTGTTTCAGGTGTTGTACCGGAGGATTGGAGGAAGGCAGATGTTGTTCCTATATTTAAAAAGGGATCAAAATCCTTGCCTGGAAATTATAGACCTGTGAGCTTAATTTCTGTAACTGGGAAAATATTTGAAGGGCTATTAAGCGATAATATTCAAGAATTCATTGGGAAGAACTTTGTTATTAGCAATAATCAGCATGGTTTTATGAAACATAGGTCATGTCAAACTAACCTAATTGCATTCTATGAAGAAGTAAGTAGAAGTATAGATCAGGGTGTTGCAGTGGATGTGATCTACTTGGATTTTGCCAAGGCATTTGATACGGTTCCTCACAATAGGTTAGTCTTCAAACTAAAAGAAATTGGTCTAGATGAATATTCTTGTTCTTTTGTAGAACATTGGTTTAAGGATAGAGTACAACGAGTTGTACTGCACGGCAAAATTTTCAGGCTGGACAAAAGTAGTAAGTGGTGTCCCTCAGGTTCTGTTTTGGGATCGCTTTTATTTAACATATTTATAAATGATCTTGAAATAGGCATTGAAAGCCATGTATCAGTGTTTGCAGATGACACAAAACTTTGTAAAGTAATAAAATGTGAGCAGGATATTGCTTTGCTGCAGAGGGATTTGGATAGATTGGGGACTGGGCACTAAAATGGCAGATGAAATTTAACATAGAGAAATGCAAAGTTATGCACTTCGGGGTTAAGAATGCACAAGCAACTTACACACTAAATGGTAGTGAATTAGGGATAACCACACACGAGAAGGATTTGGGAATTGTTATAGACAACAAATTAGGCAGCAATATGCAATGTCAATCTGCAGTTGCTAAGGCCAGTAGGATTTTGTCATGTATAAATAGGGGCAAATTCGGATGAAAATATAATTTTGCCTCTTTATAAATCACTTCACGCTTTGAATATGCTGTGCAATTTTGGGCTTGCTCCTAAAGAAGCGATATCATGGCACTGAGAGGGTCCAGAGACGAAGCTACAAAATTGATACAAAAAGGAACGGAGCATTTGTGAAGCCGCGAAGAAAGGTTAAAAAAATTTAATCTGTTTAGTTTGGAAAAACGCGCCTGAGAGGATATGATAACCTCAAGGCCAAATATATTCAGCCGTGTACAAACCTTTATCTGGAAATCTATTCCCATAAACAGGGCTATACATAGGACACGAGGTCACACATAAGGCAAAGAAAAGGTTTTTTTACAGTAAGAACAATAAGGATATGGAATTCTCTGCCTGAAGAGGTGGTTTTGTCAGAGTCCATACAGATGTTTAAACTGAAATTGGATAAATACTTACAAAAACATAACATACAGGGATATGATTTCTAATTAGTGGGGTAATAGCTGCTTGATCCAAGGAGACATCTGAATGCTTTTTTGGGGTCAAGAAGGAATTTTTTCCTAGTTTGTGGCAAAATTGGAAGCGCTTCAGACCAGGTCTTTTGCCTTCTTTTGGATCAACAGCAACAACATTTGTGAGGAAGGCTGAACTTGATGGACGCAAGTCTCTTTTCAGCTATGTAACTATGTAACTTTAATCTTTTAAATTCTCATATTTAATGGTAATGGTCTCTTCAAGTGAATCTGGGTAAACACAGTATTCCCATAGCCTACAAACTACCCCTCTGAGTAGAATCAGACATGTCAAAACAAGAAAAGAAAAAGGAAAAGGGAAAGAAAGAAGGGGAAAGCAAAGGGAAAGGCAAGGAAAAGAAAAGAAAATGAAAGGGGAAAGAAAGGAAAAATATTCTAATAAGTATAACATTGATGCTCTGCTGGGTTACTGGTTGTCTGCACCAAATGTATACGTATTTCGTCTTTGTCTATTTATGAAATGCTAGTCATGACAAGAATTTATGCAAATATAATATGTAGTCTGTTTTATGTATTTGTACCGTCTTGTATTGTAATGTGAAAAATAGATAAGGAAAAGAAAGACCTTTTCAAATAAAGAACATAATCATGAAAAAAAAAAATCATCATTTTTTTACACCTCAGATACATGTGTGTTAAATATAGGGATAAGTTAACATAATACTAAAAAAACTAGGAGGTTACAGTTTTCCTTTAATTTCTAATGACTAATTTGATTATATCGTCTATATCGTCTTTGATTATATCGTTCTAAGTTTAATTTGAAAATAGCTTGTATTCCTATAGCTTTCTGTGTTTCCAACGGTCAAATCTATGATGAGAGGCAAATACACACTGATCAGCCACAACATTAAAACCAACTGCCTAATATCATGTAGGTCCCCCTGTGTTGCCCAAACAGCTCTGAATCAACAAGACCTCTGGCACCAGGACATTAGCAGCAGATCCTTTAAGTCCTGCAAGTTGCAAGGTGAGGCCTCCATGGACCGAATTTGTTGTTCCTGGACATCACACAGATGCTCAAATCGGATTGAGATCTGGGGAATTTGGACTCCAATGCAACACCTTGAACACTTGTCATGTTTCACAAACCATTCCTGAACAATTTTGGCAGTGCAGCATTGTGCATTATCCTGCTGAAAAAGGCCACTGCCAATAGGGAACAACATTGCCATGAAGACGTGTACGTGGTCTGCAACATTCTCTAGGTAGGTGGTACGTGTCAAAGAAACATCTACGTGAATACCAGGACACAAGGTTTCACAGCAGAACATTGCCCAGAGCATAACACTGCCTCTGCCAGCCTGCTTTTTTTTCCCATAGTGCATCCTGATGCACACACCTGGACATTCACATGATCTAAAAGAAAACATGATTCATCAGACGAGGCAACATGGTCCAGTTCTGATGCTCACATCCCCATTGAAGGCTCTTTAGGTGGTAGATCATCAGGGACACTGTGACTAGTCTGTTGCTATGCAGCCTATTTTCAGCAAACTGCGATGCACTGTTTGTTCTAACACCTTTCTATCACAGCCAGCATTAAAGTGTTCAGCAATTTGAGCTACAGTAGCTCTTCTTTGTGATCAGAACTGACAGGCTAGCCTTCAATTCCCACATGCATCAATGAGCCGTGGACTCCCATGAACCTAACGCCAGTTTACTGGTTGTCCTTCCTTGCATCACTTTTGGTAGGTACTAATCACTGCATATTGGGGACACCCCACAAGACTTGATGTTTTGTAAATTCTCTGACCCAGTCGTCTAGTCCTCACTATTTGGCCATTGTCAAAGTCACTCAGATCTTTTCACTTGCCCATTTGTCCTGCTTCCAACACATGAAATGCAAGAACTGACTGTTCATTTACTGCCCAATATACCCCACCCCTTGAGAGCTGCCATTGTAACGATATAATCAATGTTATTCACCACTTCACCTGTCAGTGGTTTTAATGTTGTAGCAGATCAGTGTATACAATTGCATGTTTTCATTTTTAATCAAACACTTTTTGCATACTTGCACATAGTTTTTACTCAGGATCATGTTGTAAAACATATCTGATATTTAATATTCTGCATTACATTTTTTCTCAATTTTTTTTATTGATTGAAATTAATTATTTAAAAATGCTGTCTTCCTTAGTCTGTGCTAATTACCTTACTTTTCCTTAACATGCCAGGTGAATATTTGTGAAATAATAAATCATTGCTACATTTCTTAAGAAATGAATTTTTGAAGAGAAATACTTATTGTATACTCTCTATTTTGACATTAGTATTCTTGATTCAGAATGAATACACTCCTACTCTCTGAAGTATATAACTCCTGATATATTTGACATAGATAACAAAGACCAAAAACTTTCTTAATTGAAAAGAGGGCTTAATGCCTTTTTTAACTAAACTTTAAAAGTTTCTAATATTTATAAAAAAATAAATATACGAGAAACAGGTATAGACAATTATTAAAATAAATATAATGTTAAACATACATATATTAACATTGCCTTTACTACAAAAAATAATTTAACTTTTTTTTTTTCTTACGATTTTGGAATAAAGATATTTGATTTGGTTATGCTGCAAGTTCGAGATTTAATTTATCAATTTCTGCTACTGCTAACATTAGATTTCTCTGAAATCTTTCACGAGGTGCCCAGAAGCACAAAATTGCGAACAGAAGCTCCTTCCACAAATCTTCGCTGTCAGATATGTTAGGGATCATTTGGGAGAATTAGAGTGTGAACTGCTTTATTCTTATTGTCCAGGGATTGGGAAATCTTAACGCTCTGTATATACATATATGTTCTGCATTCTCGTAACAGGAAATAGCACTAGGAAAACAAATTGCCATGTAAGTGCACAAGGCTACAATTCAATAAGAAAATGATCAGATGTAATTGTGAGACAAATTCATCACTTCTATAATACAGAGCAGAGTAAAATTCATTTTATTTAAGTGCATTAGCATTTTTATATGGTCTACATATATATTAAAATTCTGCTACATTTATCTCTATTTTAAAAATATATATTTTAATTGTTTACGTATAATTAACATTTAATTTAAAAAACAAAAACAAATTAACATTTAAAAATGATTTATTTAATTAAATATTTTTGACAAGCTCTAAATATAAAAAAAAAATAACTGTTATAACGAAAACACTAGTTATAATTTTTTTTTTCATTATTATTCTCAAACCTCTTTTCAGCATCTGAACTAAATATTTTCCCATAAAATTAAAATTTTGTATTCAAAATATTTGTTTTTATTTTGTAAAAAATCTTACATTGCTTCTTTGGAGAAAGCAGCATTTAGGGCAGTAGATCAAATGTTTTTGATGTGCTCATCTTTCTCTCCACCACTTTCATTGATGGAACCTTGTGGTCAGGCTTACTAATGACTGCAAACTGCAATAGAATTAAAGAGACCCCGTACATGATATCAATTCCCAGGTCACCAAAGCCTTAAAGAAAAACTGTCATAATTTTTTCATTAGTGCTCAAAATAAAAAATTACATGTACTACAAGCTTGTAATGCATTAATTTTTAATGAATGTGTAAAACTTGATGCCTTTTCAGTGAATCTCCTGATTTCACCCTGCTCCCTGGGAACAGCCATTTTAAGCCCATTTCGACCACAAGCACCACTTATCTACAAAACTATACACAATCTGAAAGTATGAAACTACATTCCTGAGATGCCCTGTGCTTGTACACAATGCCAACATTCATAAAAACACATTTTCTCTAGATTACGTACACAATTTCAGTCGATAAGAAGTACTTCTGACTGTAGAATAAAAGAGGTATTTACTTATTACAAAAAAAAATACACAAATAGGCAAAAATAAATGAAATATTTTGTTTTAATTCAGAATAAAAGAATATTTTCCTGTAAACATAAAATGCATTAAATGGAGCTTACAAAATGGTGTTTCTCCTAAAGAGCAAAAAGGATTCGTTAACCAGGAATTTAGGACACTTCAAATTGTGTGGACATTAAACGCTTAACCTTTGTAATTAACAATACTAAAATATGTATCAGTGGAGTTTATTTACTAAACAGTGAGTAATGGTAAGTTGTCATTTTCTCTCAATATTCTGTGAAAGGTAGCAGAGTTGAAAAGAAAATATCCTGCATATATTTTGGACTATTTTGGTCATAGCTAGCCTGGAAATCCCAATACTAAAGAGACATAGTTTCTCATAAAAATTGGTTCTTCCAGTACTGTACTGCTGTTAGAAGTAGTACAGTTTTAGCAATGGTAGGGTATGTTTTGTCAGTGAGGTCCCTAGTGCAGAGTATCAGTGTTTGAGCTGTGCTTCAGCACATGGCAGCAGGGGCGCCAGATGTAGTGTCAGCATTTCAAAAACAGGAACACAAAAAAGGGAGGGCGGTGGGGTAGAGCTAAATATGCTATAGGCAGAGTTAAACACACAATGGGTGGAGCTAAATATACAGAGGGGCTAAATGTGTCCTGAACCTGCTGCCTGATTACTACTGCACACTGAGGGGAAGCAAGAAGGAGTCCCAGCTTACCCAACAACTATACACCAGGGACTGCAATGAATGGGTTGGGTTAGGGGTTAGGGAGCCCTAAAGATGTGTAAGTGGTTGTGGTGGCAAGAGAGGGATGCTTAGAAATGTCCAAATTGCAGTAGTCCCGAATTTCAGAAGTGCCGAAACAAATTTTTTGCCCATACACATCCCTAGAAAGTATTCAATCCCCTATCAATCAGCAAGATTTCTGGCTCCCAGATGTCTTTTTAAACAGGTAACAATCTGAGATTAGGAGCACTCTCTTAAAGGAGCAGTATAGTGCCAGGAAAACAAACTCGTTGAACTGGCACTATAGGGTCATTAGGTCCCCCCCACGCTCAAGGTCCCCCTCCGGCTGGGCTGAAGGGGTTAAGACCCCATTCAGCCACTTACCTTTCTCCAGTGCCGGGCTCCCTCCGCCCTGGGGAACTCTCCTCCTCCTGCCGACATCAGCGCTGAATGCGCATGCACGGCAAGAGCAGTGCGCGCATTCAGACTGCCCATAGGAACGCATTACTCAATGCTTTCCTATGGATGTCCAGCATCTTCTCACTGTGATTTTCACTGTGATTTTCATAAAAGACACCAGTCCACAGAAGCAAACAATCAATCAGATTCCAAACTCTCCACCATGGCCAAGACCTGTCCAAGGATGTCAGGGACAAGATTGTAGATCTACACAAGGTTGGAATGGGCTACAAGACCATCGCCAAGCAGCTTGGTGAAAAGGTGACAACAGTTGGTGCGATTATTCACAAATGGAAGAAACACAAATAACTGTGAGTCTCCCTCGGTCTGGTGCTCCATGCAAGATCTCACCTCGTGGAGTATCAATGATCATGAGAACAGTGAGGAATCAGCCCAGAATTACACTGGCGGATCTTGTTAATGATCTCAAGGCAGCTGGGACCATAGTCACCAAGAAAACAATTGGTAACACACTACTCCGTGAAGAACTGAAATCGTGCAGCGCCCGCAAGGTCCACATGCTCAAAAAAGCACATTTACAGGCCAGTCTGAAGTTTGCCAATGAACATCTGAATGATTTAGAGGTGAACTGGGTGAAAGTGATGTGATCATATGAGACCAAATTCGAGCTCTTTGGCATCAAGTCAACTTTCCGTGTTTGGAGGAGGAGGAATGCTGCCTATGATCCCCACCGTCAAACATGGAGGTGGAAATATTATGCTTTGGGTGTGTTTTTCTGCTGAGGGGACAGGACAACTGCACTGCATCAAATGGACGATGGATGGGGCCATGTACTGTCAAATCTTGGGTGAGAACCTCCTTCCCTGAGCCAGGGCAATGAAAATGGGTCATGGATAGGTATTCTAGCATGACAATGACCCAAAAATCACAGCCAAAACTACAAAAGAGTGGCTCAAGAAGAAGCACATTAAGGTCTTGGAGTGGCCTAGCCAGTCTCCAGACCTTAATCCAATAGACAATCTGTGGAGGGAGCTGAAGGTTCGAGTTGCCAAATGTTAGCCTCAAAACCTTAATGACTTGGAGAGGATCTGCAAAGAGGAGTGGGACAAAATCCCTCCTGAGATGTGTGCAAACCTGGTGGCCAATGTCTGACCTCTGTGGTTGCCAACAAGGGTTTTGCCACCAAGTACTAAGTCAAGTGGGTCAAATACTTATTTCACTCATTGACATGCAAATCAATTTATAACTTTTTTGACATGCGTTTTCCTGGATTTAAATTTTTTTGGGGGTATTCTGTCTCTCACTGTTAAAATACATCTACCATTAAAATTATAGACATAGAAACATAGAATGTGACGGCAGATAAGAACCATTCGGCCCATCTAGTCTGCCCAATTTTCTAAATACTTTCATTAGTCCCTAGCCTTATCTTATAGTTAGGATAGCCTTATGCCTATCCCACGCATGCTTAAACTCCTTTACTATGTTAACCTCTACCACTTCAGCTGGAAGGCTATGCTATGCATCCACTACCCTCTCAGTAAAGTAATACTTCCTGATATTATTTTTAAACCTCTGTCCCTCTAATTTAAGACTATGTCCTCTTGTTGTGGTAGTTTTTCTTCTTTAAATATAGTCTCCTCCTTTACTGTGTTGATTCCCTTTATATATTTAAATGTTTCTATCATATCCCTCCTGTCTCGTCTTTCCTCCAAGCTATACATGTTAAGATCCTTTAACCTTTCCTGGTAAGTTTTATCCCGCAATCCATGAACCAGTTTAGTAGCCCTTCTCTGAACCCTCTCTAAGGTATCAATATCCTTCTGAAGATACGGTCTCCAGTACTGTGTACAATACTGCAAGTGAGGTCTCACCAGTGTTCTGTACAATGGCATGAGCACTTTCCTCTTTCTACTGCTAATACCTCTCCCTTTACAACCAAGCATTCTGCTAGCATTTCCTGCTGCTCTATTACATTGTCTGCCTACCTTAAAGTCATCAGAAATAATCACCCCTAAATCCCTTTCCTCATATGTTGAGGTTAGAACTCTATCAAATATTCTGTACTCTGCCCTTGGGTTTTTACGCCCAAGATGCATTATCTTGCACTTATCCACATTAAATGTCAGTTGCCACAATTCTGACCATATTTCTAGTTTACCTAAATCATTTGTCATTTGGCTTATCCCTCCTGGAACATCAACCCTGTTACATATCTTAGTATCATCAGCAAAAAGACATACCTTACCATCAAGACCGTCTGCAATATCACTAATAAAAATATTAAAGAGAATGGGTCCAAGTACGGATCCCTGGGGTACCCCACTGGTGACAAGTCCAAGCTTTGAATATATTCCATTAACTACAACCCTCTGTTTCCTGTCACTCAGCCACTGTCTTACCCATTCAACAATATTGGGTAAGGCATTTCTTTGTCAGTGGGCAAACGTTCAAAATCAGCAGGGGATCAAATACTTTCCCCCCCTCACTGTATAACGCAAGTATCCCTATTTAGGAGGGACAGTCCACACTCTGGGCCCAAATCCCTCTGTCCCTCTTTTACTATCCAAATATACCTCTTTTCTAGGAACTCTATATTATTGGTGTGTCTGAGTGTATAACAAGGCTCCACAGCAATAATACTCACAGAAATGTGTCTGTAAATTGCACAATGAGTGGGTTTAAAGGGGCACTATAGTCATCAGAACAACTACAGCTTAATGTAGTTGTTCTGGTGAATATAATAGCTCCCTTCAGGCATTTTCATGTAAACAGAGAAAAGGCAGTGTTTACATTGGCCCTAGGGACACCTCCAAGTGACCACTCCTCAGATGGCCACTGGAGGGGCTTCCTGACCCAGTGCTGCACAATAAGCAGCATTGCTGTTCAGCGTCCCCACGCTCTGCATGGAGACGCTGAATTTTCCTCATAGAGATGCATTGATTCAATGCATCTCTATGAGGATGTCCTGATTGGCCAAAACAGCATTTGGCCCCGCCCCATGCCGATTTTAGATAATCATTGGATTGGCTAAAAATCGGCCATTTTGATGATGTCACAAAGGGAGCTGAGCAAACGCCAGCGGACCAGCGTGGCACTGGAAGTAAGGTGAGTTTTATATTTTTATAGGGGGGCAAGCCACCTAACTGGTGGGTTAAACACTATAGGGTCAGGAATACATGTTTGTGTTCCTGACCCTATAGTGATCCTTTAAGGAATCAGTATGTGTAAATAAGATACATTGTTATTGTTTAAAGTTACATTTTAGTTTTATATTTGTTATTTGTAAGACACCTAAAAATTTTCATAACAGCCCTGCCTGTGGCCACACCCCAACTCACACCCCTAAAATTAAAATGTCCTCTTTGTGCAGTTGAAGTGTTGGTGGCATGTGGTATAATTAATGGGGCAATAATGAAAAAAATTTAAAATGGGGCATTCTGCTTTAAGAAGGAAAGAGTTTATTTTTATAAAAATATTTTTTCAGTCTTCCTGCTGGCTGCTCGAGTAATCAGCAAATTGATTTTTTAATTTAAAAATACAAGAAGAGGAATGTATCTAATACATGATGCGAGATATATGCATCAAGAGAAGGGGTTCAAAATAGCCAACAAAAGGCCTACTATATAGGCCAGACAGAACCACAAAAATGAAAGAACAAAAAATAATAAAGATTTATTGAACACTACAAAAATGTAACCCAAATATGTGCTACCCTATAAACACCTAAAAGTTAAAATAAAAATATAAATACAGGTCGTATGAAAATAATAAAAACAAAATATAATTGCAGATCAAAATATAAGAAACTATTACTATCGGTAGTAGCTAGTAATAAGTCAGGTTAGAAGAGCAGAATGCCGATCTAATGGATCAATAATCAGTGGTGTGGTCTGGTACTATGGAGACCAAAACTAAGCTAGTAGATTAATATAGGTCCTATCAACCAGTGAGTGTGACATAATCTAGAAAGCTGTTCCTGTCCATAGTGGCTAATGATGTGCCATACATTCAAACACCCTGGTGGTTCAACAATAGATTATAAAGTCTGTTGCTTGAAATATCAGAAAATGCTATTGGACTATATAGGTCCTTTAAATATCTGAGAAGGAGTTATAAATATCAATAGAAAAAATGAGATCATTAAATGAACGTTGAGCTGATATTTAAACCAGTATTGAAGTGGTTAAAGTGGTAATCTAAATCGAAGGATACCACTAATTAACTAGATATAAGGGGTATATATAGAACGGCAGCAGCCAATAATCGTGGTACCGACAGTAAAGCATACATGAGAATAGCTAGGAGGGAGAGAGTAGAACACAGACACATGTAAAAGTCAACTAGCAATAACCAGTGCTACAAAGTATCATATACCAAAATTGTCCAATGATACAAAAAAAAATAAAAAAATATATAGTTAACGATATGAGAAAAAGTAGCACCCTCTATATAAATATGTGTCCCGTGCCTTCAAGGGCACCTAGCTCCAACCCCCCAAAGATCTATTAGTTAGTTAGTTAGTTAAGATAGAGCTATAAAAATTAATAAGATCTGCAAAAATAGGAATAAACACTATATATGTTTGAATAGAAATATAGAATGAAAACAGCGCGGTCGCTAGTCTGTGTGCTGCGCTAAGGATCCAAGAAGCGCAGCACACTACAATCCTCTGACGCGCGCGTTTCGCTACACCTAGCTCGTCAGAGAGGAAACGGGAGGTGCGTGAGCACCGGGTTTAAAATTCCCAAGAAGTTGTTTGATTGGTCCAGGTAAGCAGTTTCCCATTGGTTGCCTAAAATGACGTGACGGAAAGCATTTGGAGAGATAGAATGATCTATGCGGCTGCAAATAGTTAACCCTTTGGTGACAGAATTGGGATTTCCAAAATCGAAAAAATATAACATTTAGACTAAACTACTACACAAATGTTTGGTAACAAAAACAGATTTGTTTATGCAGTTATCAAATACGTTTGAGTCTATTCTGAAGTAGCTCCATGGGTGGAGGTCAAAACGCAACCATAAGACCCAGAAACAATTAGATTCCATAATACATCATTTGGACAGATTCTTATGTAAACAGTGCAATTCAATGCTCAATAATATAAACTTGATGTCATTCCGGGAGCCACCAAATCATATATTATAAAAATGATCAGCCTTGTATGGTATATAAGAAAAAAACAGTACAAGAGTGTCCTGATAAGTCTTAGATAAGGCTTAAATAAGGATTTATCTAGACAGAAAACACTATATCATATAAATAGAAAGAATACTGATATATTGAACTTAAAATAGTGTCTGATGTGTCTGACAAAATAAAGTTGAAAAAACTATTACTATCGGTAGTGACTGGTAATAAGTCAGGCTAGAACAGCAGAATGCCGATCTAATGAATCAATAATCAGTGGTGTAGTCTGGTACTATGGAGACCAAAACTAAGCTTGTAGATTAATATAGGTCATATCAACCAGTGAATGTGACATAATCTAGAAAGCTGTTTCTGTCCATAGTGGCTAATAATATGCCATATATTCAAACACCCTGGTGGTTCGACGATAGATTATAAAGTCTATTGCTGGAAATATCAGAAAATGCTATTGGGCTATACAGGTCCTTTAAATATCTGAGATGAGATCATAAATATCAGTAAGAGAAAAATAAGATCATTAGATGAACGTTAAGCTGATATGAAAACCAGTAGCTGAAGTGGTGATCTCAATAAAAGGATACCACTAATTAGCTAAATATAAGGGGTATATATAGAACGGCAACAGCCTGAAATTGCTGTACCGACAGTAAAGCATACATGAGAATAACTAGGAGGGAGAGAGTAGAACAAAGACACATGTGTAGGTCAAGTAGCGATAACCAGTGCTACAAAGTATCATGTGCCAAGACTATCCAATGATACAAAGAATAGTTCACGATATGGGAAAGGGTAACATCCTCTATATAAATATGTGTCCTGTGCCTTCAAGGGCACCTAACTCAAACCCCCCAGAGATCTATTAGTCAAGATAGAGCTATAAAAAATTATATGATCTGCAAAAATAGAAATAAACGCTATATATGTTTAAATAGAAATATAGAGTAAAAGTAGCGCGGTCACTAGTCTGTGTGCTGTAATGAGGATCCAAGGAGTGCAGCACACCATAATCCTCTATGAATCATAATAAATAATTAGTTTATATGGCTATCCCATGGAACATATACTAATTAGAATTAGACATAGGTCACTAATAATGGCTATGGAAAATATGTTAATATGCAGAGAGACTATTAATGGTTCGTTATTAATGTATGAAGGGGGTAAAATTAAACTCCTCATTGAGCCCGTCTGGTGACAATGTCTTTAAAATATATATCCATCTGGACTCTTTCATGAGAAGTATTTTATTAAAGTTACCCTTCCTTGTGTTTAAGGTAAGTTTCTCCAAGGCCTGGAAAGTTAATTTAGTGGGGTCTGCCTCATGATAGTTGCGGACATGATTAGCTATTGGGGTCGAGATGTTCAAGTTGGTAATTGAACAGACATGTTGAAGTATCCTCCGTTTAAATTGCTGGTAGGTCTTTCCTACATATTGTATACCGCAGCTGCAGGTGATTAAATATATCACCCGTGTTGAGCTGCAGTTAATGAATTCTTTAACCGTATATTCATTTTTAGTTCTAAAGCTTCTGACAGTTTTTGTTGGTTTAATATACTGACAGGCTTTACAATGCCCACATCGAAATACTCCAGTAGTTTGTTCTAACCAGGTGGATTGTAATGACTTGACAGGTTCTGTATGACTGTGGACAAGAATGTCTTTCAGATTTCTTGCTCTACGAGCAGTCATCTGGGGAAATTTTTCAATACTGTCACTTAGATCCATATCATGTTGTAAAATGGGCCAATTCCGAGAGATAATATTGCGTATCTTATCCCAATAGGGATCATAGGTGCCAATGCACCGAGTTGTCTTTGTTTCAGTCCTAGATCTAGTGTTTCTCAGGCTATCACTCCTGTTGGTCGAGAGAGCTCGTTGATAGGCTCGTTTAAGAACCCTATTAGGATAGCCCTTCTTTTTAAACATTAGTCTCAGTTTCTTTGCTTCCAATTGGAAGGTTGATTCGTTAGAGCAATTTCGTCTCGCACGGAGATATTGGCCATACGGTATCCCAGATTTTAACTTCATTGGATGATAACTTGTCCAGTTTAATAAGCTGTTCGTTGCTGTATCTTTTCTGAAAAGTGTGGTTTCAATTTTACCATCCTCCTGTATCTGGATATCTAGATCCAGAAAAAACAGATGTTCCGAATCTATCACATGTGTGAGTTTAAGGCCAATGTTGTTAATATTAAGTAGATTTACTAGATCTTGAAATTGTTTAATCGACCCCAACCAAAAGACCAGGATGTCATCAATATATCTATGCCAACTATAGATATACGTGTCATACTGGTCTTTGGTAATAACTGGTAAGATGGTCTCTTCCCACCAACCTAAATAAAGGTTGGCATAGCTAGGGGCACAAGCCGTGCCCATAGCTGTGCCCATTAACTGTAAGTAGTATTGACCATTGAATACAAAAAAGTTATGAGTGAGGATATATTCTAGTAACTTGATGATAAAATTACTCTGTGCAGATGTAAACTCTGAAGACTTATTCAGAAAGTAAGAGGTAGCTTGTATGCCTATGGTGTGTGGAATGTTATTGTAAAGAGCAACAACATCCAAACTACCTAATAGGCAATATGGAGGTACCATCAAGTTTTCCAGTAGCAACAATGTCTGTTTGGTGTCCTGGAGGTAGGACTTTAAATTGACCACTAATGGATGTAGTAGTTTCTCAAGAAATTTGCTACCTCTTTCTGTGATTGAGCCATTGCCTGACACGATTGGTCTTCCCGGTGGTTTTTCGAGATTTTTATGAATTTTGGGAAGACAATAAAAGGTGGCAATGGTTGGAGTCATATTTGGAAGGATGTATTTTAATTCATCGTTACTAATAATACCCTCCATTTCTGCAATTTCCAAAAGAGATTTTAATTCAGTTAGGTATTCAGTGGTTGGGTCTGTTGGCAGGCGGCGATATACATCAGTGTTTTCAAGATGTTGCATACACATCTCAATATAAAATGACTACTAATGAAATTGAGTCTCTAGATCCCCCTACCTCTTATAAAGACAACTTAACCTTGGCAGAAAGAAGGGCTCTAGTTGAACTAAGTCGAGAATCTAATCTGATCATTAAGTCATCAGATAAAGGTGGGAACATCGTGTTAATGGATAAAGCCAACTATATTGAGATGTGTATGCAACATCTTGAAAACACTGATGTATATCGCCGCCTGCCAACAGACCCAACCACTGAATACCTAACTGAATTAAAATCTCTTTTGGAAATTGCAGAAATGGAGGGTATTATTAGTAACGATGAATTAAAATACATCCTTCCAAATATGACTCCAACCATTGCCACCTTTTATTGTCTTCCCAAAATTCATAAAAATCTCGAAAAACCACCGGGAAGACCAATCGTGTCAGGCAATGGCTCAATCACAGAAAGAGGTAGCAAATTTCTTGAGAAACTACTACATCCATTAGTGGTCAATTTAAAGTCCTACCTCCAGGACACCAAACAGACATTGTTGCTACTGGAAAACTTGATGGTACCTCCATATTGCCTATTAGGTAGTTTGGATGTTGTTGCTCTTTACAATAACATTCCACACACCATAGGCATACAAGCTACCTCTTATTTTCTGAATAAGTCTTCAGAGTTTACATCTGCACAGAGTAATTTTATCATCAAGTTACTAGAATATATCCTCACTCATAACTTTTTTGTATTCAATGGTCAATACTACTTACAGTTAATGGGCACAGCTATGGGCACGGCTTGTGCCCCTAGCTATGCCAACCTTTATTTAGGTTGGTGGGAAGAGACCATCTTACCAGTTATTACCAAAGACCAGTATGACACGTATATCTATAGTTGGCATAGATATATTGATGACATCCTGGTCTTTTGGTTGGGGTCGATTAAACAATTTCAAGATCTAGTGAATCTACTTAATATTAACAACATTGGCCTTAAACTCACACATGTGATAGATTCGGAACATCTGGTTTTTCTGGATCTAGATATCCAGATACAGGAGGATGGTAAAATTGGAACCACACTTTTCAGAAAAGATACAGCAACGAACAGCTTATTAAACTGGACAAGTTATCATCCAATGAAATTAAAATCTGGGATACCGTATGGCCAATATCTCCGTGCGAGACGAAATTGCTCTAACGAATCAACCTTCCAATTGGAAGCAAAGAAACTGAGACTAATGTTTAAAAAGAAAGGCTATCCTAATAGGGTTCTTAAACGAGCCTATCAACGAGCTCTCTCGACCAACAGGAGTGATAGCCTGAGAAACACTAGATCTAGGACTGAAACAAAGACAACTCGGTGCATTGGCACCTATGATCCCTATTGGGATAAGATACGCAAAATTATCTCTCGGAATTGGCCCATTTTACAACATGATATGGATCTAAGTGACAGTATTGAAAAATTTCCCCAGATGACTGCTCGCAGAGCAAGAAATTTGAAAGACATTCTTGTCCACAGTCATACAGAACCTGTCAAGTTATTACAATCCACCTGGTTAAAACAAACTACTGGAGTATTTCGATGTGGGCATTGTAAAGCCTGTCAGTATATTAAACCAACAAAAACTGTCAGAAGCTTTAGAACTAAAAATGAATATACGGTTAAAGAATTCATTAACTGCAGCTCAACACGGGTGATATATTTAATCACCTGCAGCTGCGGTATACAATATGTAGGAAAGACCTACCAGCAATTTAAACGGAGGATACTTCAACATGTCTGTTCAATTACCAACTTGAACATCTCGACCCCAATAGCTAATCATGTCCGCAACTATCATGAGGCAGACCCCACTAAATTAACTTTCCAGGCCTTGGAGAAACTTACCTTAAACACAAGGAAGGGTAACTTTAATAAAATACTTCTCATGAAAGAGTCCAGATGGATATATATTTTAAAGACATTGTCACCAGACGGGCTCAATGAGGAGTTTAATTTTACCCCCTTCATACATTAATAACGAACCATTAATAGTCTCTCTGCATATTAACATATTTTCCATAGCCATTATTAGTGACCTATGTCTAATTCTAATTAGTATATGTTCCATGGGATAGCCATATAAACTAATCATTTATTATGATTCATAGAGGATTGTGGTGTGCTGCACTCCTTGGATCCTCATTACAGCACACAGACTAGTGACCGCGCTGCTTTTACTCTATATTTCTATTTAAACATATATAGCGTTTATTTCTATTTTTGCAGATCATATAATTTTTTATAGCTCTATCTTGACTAATAGATCTCTGGGGGGTTGGAGTTAGGTGCCCTTGAAGGCACGGGACACATATTTATATAGAGGATGTTACCCTTTCTCATATCGTGAACTATTCTTTGTATCATTGGATATTCTTGGTACATGATACTTTGTAGCACTGGTTATTGCTACTTGACCTATACATGTGTCTTTGTTCTACTCTCTCCCTCCTAGTTATTCTCATGTATGCTTTACTGTCGGTGCAGCGATTTCTGGCTGTTGCCGTTCTATATATACCCCTTATATCTAGCTAATTAGTGGTATCCTTTTATTGAGATCACCACTTCAGCCACTTCAATACTGGTTTTAATATCAGGTCAACGTTCATCTAATGATCTTATTTTTCTCTTACTGATATTTATGATCTCATCTCAGATATTTAAAGGACCTGTATATCCCAATAGCATTTTCTGATATTTCAAGCAATAGACTTTATAATCTATCGTCGAACCACCAGGGTGTTTGAATATATGGCATATTATTAGCCACTATGGACAGAAACAGCTTTCTAGATTATGTCACATTCACTGGTTGATATGACCTATATTAATCTACAAGCTTAGTTTTGGTCTCCATAGTACCAGACTACACCACTGATTATTGATTCATTAGATCGGCATTCTGCTGTTCTAGCCTGACTTATTACCAGCCACTACCGATAGTAATAGTTTTTCATATTTTGATCTGCAATTTTATTTTTATTTTGTCAGACACATTAGACACTATTTTAAGTTCAATATATCAGTATTCTTTCTATTTATATGATATAGTGTTTTCCGTCTAGATAAATCCTTATTTAAGCCTTATCTAAGACTTATCAGGACACTCTTGTACTGTTTTTTTCTTATATACCATACAAGGCTGATCATTTTTATAATATATGATTTGGTGGCTCCCGGAATGACATCATGTTTATATCATTGATCATTGAATTGTACTGTTTACATAAGAATCTGTCCTAATGATGTATTATGGAATCTAATCGTTTCTGGGTCTTATGGTTGCGTTTTGACCTCCACCCATGGAGCTACTTCAGAATAGACTCAAACGTATTTAATAACTGCATAAACAAATCTGTTTTTGTTACCAAACATTTGTGTAGTAGTTTAGTCTAAATGCTATATTTTTCGATTTTGGAAATCCCAATTCTGTCACCAAAGGGTTAACTATTTGCAGCCGCATAGATCATTCTATCTCTCCAAATGCTTTCCGTCACGTCATTTTAGGCAACCAATGGGGAACTGCTTACCTGGACCAATCAAACAACTTCTTTGGAATTTTAAACCCGGTGCTCACGCACCTCCCGTTTCCTCTCTGACGAGCTAGGTGTAGCGAAACGCGCGCGTCAGAGGATTGTGGTGTGCTGCGCTCCTTGGATCCTTAGTGCAGCACACAGACTAGCGACCGCGCTGTTTTCATTCTATATTTCTATTCAAACATATATAGTGTTTATTCCTATTTTTGCAGATCTTATTAATTTTTATAGCTCTATCTTAACTAATAGATCTTTGGGGGGTTGGAGCTAGGTGCCCTTGAAGGCACGGGACACATATTTATATAGAGGGTGCTACTTTTTCTCATATCGTTAACTATATATTTTTTTATTTTTTTTTGTATCATTGGACAATTTTGGTATATGATACTTTGTAGCACTGGTTATTGCTAGTTGACTTTTACATGTGTCTGTGTTCTACTCTCTCCCTCCTAGCTATTCTCATGTATGCTTTACTGTCGGTACCACGATTATTGGCTGCTGCCGTTCTATATATACCCCTTATATCTAGTTAATTAGTGGTATCCTTCGATTTAGATTACCACTTTAACCACTTCAATACTGGTTTAAATATCAGCTCAACGTTCATTTAATGATCTCATTTTTTCTATTGATATTTATAACTCCTTCTCAGATATTTAAAGGACCTATATAGTCCAATAGCATTTTCTGATATTTCAAGCAACAGACTTTATAATCTATTGTTGAACCACCAGGGTGTTTGAATGTATGGCACATCATTAGCCACTATGGACAGGAACAGCTTTCTAGATTATGTCACACTCACTGGTTGATAGGACCTATATTAATCTACTAGCTTAGTTTTGGTCTCCATAGTACCAGACCACACCACTGATTATTGATCCATTAGATCGGCATTCTGCTCTTCTAACCTGACTTATTACTAGCTACTACCGATAGTAATAGTTTCTTATATTTTGATCTGCAATTATATTTTGTTTTTATTATTTTCATACGACCTGTATTTATATTTTTATTTTAACTTTTAGGTGTTTATAGGGTAGCACATATTTGGGTTACATTTTTGTAGTGTTCAATAAATCTTTATTATTTTTTGTTCTTTCATTTTTGTGGTTCTGTCTGGCCTATATAGTAGGCCTTTTGTTGGCTATTTTGAACCCCTTCTCTTGATGCATATATCTCGCATCATGTATTAGATACATTCCTCTTCTTGTATTTTTCATTTTCTATTAGGGGTTACCCCCCACTTCTATTGTGTATCTAATCTGGCTCTACTCACTTACGATTTTTTAATTTAGTTTAGGCATAATTTCTAATTCTTAATTTTTTCAAGGTTTCACTCACAAACATTTTAGTTAGTTGACCCTGTTACATATATTTTTTTTTGGACATTCAGATGCCTTCTGGGAAGGATTAAGATTCCAAATTGATAATTAGAAGCCTTTTCTCAAAAATCGGACTTGTAAATGGAATTCTGGGGCAGTGTTTGTTGATAAATGTAGTTTCCATTTCATCCAAGTGAGCTACTGCAATATAGCTCAAATGTGTGCCATTCACAAATTGTAGATTATTATTAGTGAAAATATACTGACTTGATATGATTTGAAAATCAACCCATGTTTATGATTGTTCCACGATTGTGTCTGGCGCTTAATTTGACTATCGGACAAATACAAGTCTTTTCACTAAATAAAAGACTTTAACGACAAAGATAAAACATTTCAAGTTGATTTTGTCCCATCCATTGAAAGTGTAATCTTAAAGTTGGCCTATACTTACCAATAGAGTGCTTGTAAAAAAAAAAAAAAATATTGAAACCCCAAAAAAGTGAGTTAAGCCTTGGTCCTGCCCCCTGAGGTGCCCCAAGTCCAGCCTGAGGCAAAAGTGCTGCCACAGCGTTCACCTCCCAAAGTGATGCAGTTTGGTGCTTGGAGGCAAAGATTCATCCTGTTTCCCTGACCGGTTTAGGCTGAGCATCTTCTGGTTCTCTATAGAGATGGGGATGGGGAATAATTAGATGAGAGCCAGGCAGCTTGAGTTAATATAACTGAGAAACTGGATCTATAATAATTGGGCAAGATTGCATGGAAACCCAGGCACCTATAAAGTTTTTAAACATATTTAATGTATTTAAAATGTATTTCCTTGTTTAATTTGAGCACTGCAGCCTGGAGCTGTATTTTCCCACTCTTGACTGCAGCTCATAAAATAAGTGGTTAGAGTAAAGTGATATGTAGTCATGCAACACCAGTTTTTAGCATCCTCAGGTTTATTTAGTAAAGTATCAGGAAGTTTCTTGGGAATAATATGAGGCCATAATGGCCAGCCTAGAATATTGTAGAATTTTTCCAATCCAACTATTGTGTTTTGCAATTTGCCTGCTCAATTCTCATCAGTTTTTAGATTACCAAATAACCCTGAATATATTTGGTACTCGTTGCTTTTGATGCCCTAGTCCAGACTTTTTAGGAACATGTTTTATTCAAAGCAGTTCAGAAAGGATGAGACACCTACAAGGGTTAATGTGTGAGAAGAACAAAGAAAAGTAAGGTTTAAGAATAAGAACCAAAGACAAAAGATAGATGTTGGGCAATTCTTTAAATATTTAACATTCTTTCCAAAAGTTTCTCTGCAAACCTTGTGAAACTGATGCTGTCTGCTCTCATAGTTCCTTCCTACAAATCAAATCCCATTAAGTTATCACCATTCCTTAATGTTATGACTCAGACTACAAACCTGTCTGATATTCTTATGATTTTCGGAGTGACCTTGCCTCTTATGACTCACTGGAAAAAGGTTTATAGGGAAGATAAAATATATCTAGATCTCTACAAGGGTTGTGCACATTGAGAGAAATATTGTTCTGAAAAATAAAAATTACCTTATCTAAGCGCCAAATGTCTGTGAACAACTGACAGCTGGGAACTGCCTGTGATGTCCAGTTGCTGTGTGTTACATACATTTACAAGTGATTCAAAAGTCAGGAACCACTCCAATACCTGTTAGATTAACCACATGATAATTCTTCAAAATATTGTAAGCTCTATAATGAGGACTAAAGGACCTATTGCATTTTTTCCTCATCATTTTAAACTTTTTTGTTTAACCATTAGTTAACTTAGAGGAACACTATGATCACCAAAACAACTTCAGGTTTCACTACTCAGTCCTCTGCCATGTAGCAGTAAAATCACTTTTGTTTCTGTTTATGCAGCCCTAGTCACACCTCCCCTGGTGGTTTTATTTTCAATCAGATGTAACTTACTTTAAAAGATTTTTATCTCCTGCTCTGTAAATTAAACTTTAATAATTTACAAGAGGCTCCTGCATGGTCTAGCAAACTATTAACAAAGCAGGAGATAAGAAATTTCAAATTAAACAGAATTTGCAAAAAAGGAAGTGTAAACATTAGATGACTCTTTACAGGAATTGTTTAGGAAGGCTGTGCAAGTCACATACAGGGAGGTGTGCCCAGGGCTGCATAAACAAATTGATTTAACTCCTAAATGGCAGATAATTGAGCAGTGAAACTGCAGGGGCATGATCTATAAATCAAAACTGCTTCACTAAGCAAAATTTGTTTTGGTGATGATAGTGTCCCGTTAACTATAGACATAATGTTGATATTGTCATCTAAAAATAGATTGCAGGCAATATCCTATTACTGAATACTCTGACCATGGTTACTAACACCTTAAGAGTGCTGTTCAGAAAGACTTGTCTAGAATACGGTAGCTCAGGCTTGTTGACTGGGATAAATGATCCCTGCATCATAACCTGCTCATGTCATAATGAGTAGACGTATGTATTGGGTTCAAACGAATTGTGATTTGTCTGAATGATGAGTAGTTTGAATTCCTTAACTGTTAATCGCCATACGACTGAATCATGAAAAACTGAAATGAGGAATGAATGAGCTGTTTCTTTTGTTTCATGATTCAAAGTTCCTACTATGGCACAAAAATACAAACAAAACAAAGATGACTGATGTTTAGGGGACAGGCACTAAATGTTGATTTAATTCACAGATCAAGTGAGAAGTAGCCAAGTAAAAAAAAATCTATATTTATACATCATATATTCAATAAACATATAATATATAAATATTACTACTCCTTCCTCTATTGATTACTTCTTCTCACTATGAACCAAATGGTGCAAAAATGTACCTACTAGTGTACTGCAAACTATATACATAATACATATATATATAATGTATATATTTTGCAGGTCACTTATAGTTGCATTTTTCTGCCATTTCGGATCATCCAAATAGTTTTCCCCCGACAATTGCATGGACAAAATTTTTCCAAACCAAGATGTCTTACAAACGAATTTCGAACCACCACAACTAAAACTAAATTCTGGATGAATCTATTTGAAAGAACTAAAATGTTGTTGTTGTGCACAAGTAAAATGAGTCTCTGTGCAAACACTGAAAAAGAGATTTGACTCTACATTATTTTTGTGAGTGATTGATGGACGTGTCTGTCATATCAGCAAAGGCATTGCAAAATCTTCTTTTTTAAATGCTTTGAATGACGCATTTACGAAACAGAAACAGTGGAATAATTAAATGCTTTCCTCTTTCTTTTTACTCCCAATTCTCAATTTTTCTTCATTTATGCGAGTTTTATTTAACACTTTCTATCTTATTTTATGAGTATTTTTCTTACCTGATATTTTACAGCTGCGATTTACCTATTTTCTGCACACAATACTGTTAACAATGCTGTATAATTGTCACCAAAATATGTATAAATAAAATTAAAATGTATTTATAATAAAAATATTTTAGTTGCACTAATTAACTAAAGCATCTCTATTATTATTAATATTATTATTTATGAAGCGCCAACAAGTTCCATAGCGCTGTACAATGGGTGGACTAACATTTGTAACCAGACAAGTTGGACGCACAGGAACAGAGGGATAGAGGGCCCTGCTCAATGAGCTTACATGCTAGAGGGAGTGACACAAAAGGTAAGGGTAAGGTAGAAAAGTAGGTTGCTAGGATAGTATTCATTAAGGACTTAGTGTTTTGTTTTGATGACAGTTTCAGGAGCGGAATCAGGGTGCGGGGAGGGAAAGCTGTTAACATTATAATTGATACGCTTTCCTAAAGACCATTTTCAAAGATTTTTTTGAAGGAGTGGAGATTGGGTGAAAGTCTAACAGAGAGGGGAAGGCCGTTCCAGAGGAACGGTGCAGCCCTAGAGAAGTCTTTAAGGTGAGCATCAGAGGTATCTCTATTGTGACCAATATACAACATGCATATTTGTGATCAGAAAATATCTACTTTTGTAATGTGCTGGTATCTGCAACCAGAGGTTATCACTAAATAGTATTTTCCTATAGACCCCAATAGGAGAATTGTGATTCAATTGTAATAGATTATTTATCATCATGGAGGCCAATACAGAATGTAAGCGTAAATTTCATGATAAATTTATCAGTATTATCGAGTGAATTAGAGCTATTAGAGCTGTAGAGCTATTCAAAGGAGATCTTGGCATTTATTTACTAAACTCTGAATTCTAGTGAATTAAAATCAAAATGGCAAAATTCAGACTAAAAGAGCCAAGCTGTTAGTATAGCTGAGTTAGAACAGTTTTGCATATCAGCTATTTGAGAATTTTAATAAACTACAATTTGGAATTTAGTGAATAAACCAGACTGTTTGGAAAATGTCCAACAGGTTTGGATTTCCAGTGTGGGTGACCATTATTATCACTGTGTTACCATTTTAGCTGTTTCAACATAATCTTGGTTTTGGCTTTGATCCTACGGTTTATATAAATGTTAGGATTAGGGCAGCCAACAGAAATCTTTGGCCCCTTAGAAAATCAATGGCTAGGCCTTGCCCCCAATGTCCTCCACCCAATATTGCATATCCTCTCTCTTCATTACACCAATCCTCCCCTTCCCATTAGAGATCACCCTCCTCTACATATGATCCATCCTTTTTTTTTCATGTTACAGACCACCCCCTTTCCATCACACCCACCCCTTCCCATTATAGATCATTCTCTCTCCATTAGCTTCCAGCATTGACAATTATTCTGAACAGAAGACCAGACTTGATTCACAAATGGAGAATTTTCGTTTTCCACCTAGTGAAGGTTAGCACAAACGTGAAGCTCAACTAAAATGTAGAAAGCACCGAAATGATGAGAATAGGAGTGACCTTGTACTATGTCCTTCCTTGTACTATGTCCCTCCACATTACATATGGCTGCCTTCTGGTTAAGCAGGGGCTCTCTACTTTTTTTTTTTTTTTTTATATTCTGTTATTCCTCATCTAGTATCTCATTACATCTGATTTTTCTAAAAACACCCTAGTACTTTTTGGTCGCCACTTCGAAATCTTTTCTAGTCACCTGTCAAGTAGCAATACTTTATGGCAATCCCGAGCTTCACAATTCAGTTCCAGATGGTTTCATGCTACTAAAGGGCAGATGAAGTTTCTTTCACCCATATTCATTATACTTGTGAGTAGTATAAGTATGGAAATTATGTTGTAAAAAAATAACAAGTAGTGAGACTCCTAACAAGGGAGGTGTGAGTGGAGTCAATTTCAAACATGAATCTTGTTCCAATGTCATCTGATTTGTTTTCTCAACATCCTTTCATTTAAAAGTCAATTAAAATGACACATATCTGTGGATGGAACCCTTTGAAAGCCTTATTGATAGAGGCTGACAGTTTCTTGTTATGTTATGTTATGTTCCCTCCTCTCTACCATGTAAAGCAGGGGTCCTCAAATTACGGCCCTCCAGATGTTGCTGAACTACAACTCCCATGATTCTATGGCTATCTATGCAATTCAAAGAATCATGGGAGTTGTAGTTCAGCAACATCTGGGGGGGCGGAGTTTGAGAACCCCTGATGTAAAGCATGTTGTTGGTACTCTCCAGGATCTTATAGCCAGAAACAAACACATGCTACACAGCCAGGTATTCAACGCAATGCCACCACTTTACCTAAATAATAAAGGGGTGCACATCAATGTTCTCTTCTCCCCACAGTCACCTGGGGGTCACCCCTTCCCTAGGTATCCTAGGAGAGCACTATACTTCCTGATCTTTTTTATAAAGAAAACTGCTTCTTAATGCAGCTGCCTGATGTAAAATTACAAATGATAAGAAACACTCATATCCTCCTGCCCCCCTCCAGCAACTATAGAAATCTGTGGCTATAAAGCCCCACATCCAGGACTTAGGCCCCCTAAATGTCCCCTCCCCAAGCATTGCCTATGACTACAACTAATGGTGCACTAACACACCAGGTGCACTATTCCTTGGTGCCCTTCATTCTGAAAGTGTTCACTATTATTGCAATTTGTTCAGATGGTTGAAGATGCCCCCAGTTTCATTTTATATAGTTGGCAAACACTGTCTTTGTGCCATTATTACATGAGCAGATGCACACCTAGACAGAAAGTTAGCCCCTGAGGCAACACAAAACACAATTACCTTGTCACTACCTATTTGATTCACTACTAGACTGTAATATTTTCAAATCTCAGCATCTGTTCATATAGCACAGGTATGGTGATATAATGCCTAATATCACACATTTGTCATTATTATTTATTGAGTGTCTTCAATGAAAACACAACTGGGTCTGTGCAAAGTGCAAATCCTAGAAGTGAAGCAATTGACAATAAAAATGCAATTGTGTCTGCTCAATCCATGTTTCAAACTTTACCCCAGGATTGTCCTCTGTGCGTGATCTCCAGACAGTCTAAACACTCAAAGAAATTTAAGAGCTGGATCTTAGACGATGCTCTATAGTCATCACCGTTTAAGATGATCATTATAAAAATAAAATATCAGACCAAAAACATTCCTTCAGTAGTTTATTTATATTCCTGTTTTGGTAAATGATGCTAATTTTGTTTCTTTAACACAATCTTAAGTATCAGGATGCTGGTACATTGTTCATGCAAAGATTTGCAAGTGGTGGCAAAATCCACTCCCGTTTTTCTCTTTATTGTCGATTACACACACTTCAAATCCATATGGCTCAATACATCTGACAATTGCATACTTCTTACTTATGTTAAACAAACACAAATTACTTTGTGTTATGCATCTCATAAGAAGCATTGTGCGTGGACAGTAAATATGTTAACCTGGCACATGCTCAACGAGACCTTTAGGTTTAAGTGCAGTTTCTATGCATAGTGAACACTCCACAAGGCACAAGGAAGATATGCACTGTTAGCAAATCTTGACAATGGAGTTTCGTTTACTAAAATAAAAGTGAGTTATATTGAGGTGAACTCCTTTAACAGAATGTAGGCTAAACGCATAGAGTTCAATCTGGATAAGATTTCTTCCAATTAGGCTGGGGGAGGGAAAAGTTTACAAATTGATTCTCTACTTAAAACAGTTATAAGAGCTATTCACTATAGTGTTAATTGTTGAGAATTCAAAGTGAATTTAATATGAATTTTAGGCTAAATTGGAAAAATGAATCTATGTAGTTGGAATTTTACATCAGTGACTATAAGAAGTGTTTAATTTCTGCAATAAAGTATATTTGGCAGAATGATGAAATTCTGTTATACTTAAAGGGAAATCATTACATCTGTATAATAAAATAAATAAATAAATAACAATTAGTGAAGCATATGTTTTTGATTACTATGAAATTCAGATTGAACATATTAAGAAGGTATTACTATATAGTTTCTCTACCAACTGCTTCTCTTTTGAACTCTTATCTCTCCCTGCTAAGCAGAACTATTTAAATCTATTTTTCCTGCTGTGACACAATATAAAATCCATATGTCTAATCACACATATGCCTGCAGAAAATGAGATATATAAAATTCTGGACAATCTAATCAGCTCTCCTAAAATATTGTCCCTAATACCCATTGTCCATTTTCAATAGAGAGAAAACTATCAGAAATCACAGAGCTAGCAATGCAGAAATGAATGGTATAACATAGATAAATGAATAATAATAATAATAATAATTCAAAAATGCTACATTTTATTACTACACAACTAAATTGGAATGTACAATTATTTATTGGTGGGGTCCCTTTAATTCTTCATAGACTATTGTGTATTTTTCAACTACAATATTTTAACAATGTTTTCAAACAATTGTTCTGACACTTGCTTTATTAATTAAACACTTAAATCGTCCTCTGTCAATGCATTTTCTGAGTTACTCCACAACACCCCAGCTTGCATGATGTTTTGAATCAGTCTGCATTATTCTTTTAAAAAACAGACTTGTCCATTGAAAGATGATTCTGTGACTACAAATGATATTATGTAGGCATTATACAGCTTTGAATATATATTTTATCATTTCAGTTAACATGCCAAAGTGCCACTTTTATAAACCACAAAATCATTCAGGCTGTTGCTAGGAAACCAGAATTCAGGGTACCAGTCTGACAAGCCTTTATCTGCATCTCGGGAAATAACAAACAGTTCCTTTGCTAATCGACACTAGCATACTATTATTGCTAATATCTGGATAAAGGAGTTAGTTTTAAATTAGGAAGATTGTGCAGTCTGTGTATGTGTCATTTTAAAGACACCCATAAGACACTTAAACAAACTTCACCCAAACACTAAAAACACATTTACTAACTATGTGAAAATTATACATTAACCACTATATCATACCCGAGCACATCTGTTCATTATATGCTTTTCTATTAACAAAAAAAGGGAGTTTAACCTTTTGATTGGCAATTAAGTTGTTTGGCCATTAATAGCAGGAGATGCTTTGACACAATGCTTTCAATGTAATTCAGCAACGTGCACCTGCTTTGACGTTTTACACAACATAAGTATGTTAATGCAATATTAAATAGCAATGTAATAACTTTCTTTTAGTCAGATAGGTATGTAACAGATAAAGATAAAGTATTCAGGAACGTGATCTATAGGATTTCATGGCTGACTTGTCCTTAGACCCCAGCTAGAGACACATGGGATCAGAATGCAATAGTGTTAACCCACCCATGACCAGATTTAAACAAATCCCATATTATCATGGCAGTCCTGATGTCAGTGGTCGTGAATGGGTTAAGTCCTAGATAATTTCTCGTTAATGGAGTGATGATCTCAGTGTTTTATGTTCATTATATAATAGCACCAAAGTGAGCCTATATACCTGAATGTGCACAGCTCAGTGTCACTTACCCTGCACAGCATCAAGAGCTGAAGTATACATTAGGACATTCTGCTGGAAGTAGAGTCCCCATGCTTGCCTGGAGAGGTGTGCTGCTTTCTAACTTAGATGCCCAATGCATTGCCCTAAGACAATCAGAGAGGTTTCATTCAGCTTTAATGTGTCACCGAAGGACAGATAGTGCAGTTGCATTGCAAGTCATGCTCTGAGAAGAACATTCTCTGTGTTCCTTTCCAAAATAATCCCACTCAGGTGGAGAAAGTTCCAAGCTCCAGGGTGACAGGTAGCCAGCAGAGAGCAGGTGAGGATTCCTGAGCAGCAACGATCCAGATCATTCCACTAGAAATGCATGGCTCCTTCCCAATAACCACATCATTGTGACTAAAGTTTAACTAACCCCCTAAATGGGATCAGTCTGTGCCTGAGCTGCTAAAATGCTAACAAAAAAAAAACACCCCCTCTCCACAGGTGAGCGGCTGCCCAGGTCTGACTGGTAGTGTCTTGCTGAGTTGCAGCAGGGTCTGAGGATGGCTCATGGAGGGCAGCAGGTGCAGTGTAACAGAGATTGGTGTATGTAGTGATTAGGTTTGGAGAAAGATTCAGTCTGATTGTCTTTTACACACACACAGCACTCGCCTCCCCTTTCACTGGGATTTGCTTAAAATGGGCATTCCCTTATCTTGTATTCTCACAGTAACACTTTCACTGCCTCAGGTTCTATCCTGAAATGTGTAATGTTAGCTTTTTGATAACGCTTGTGTATGTATATATTGTATACACAAACACATACACATGCATATTTGTGATTAACCCCTACAGATGGTGGTATATACCATCATTAAAAAACTTGTCCTTTAAGGATCCCATATCCCAATCAACAAATTCAGAGCTAAATAGTTTCCAATGCTCACTAGGCAGGACATTTCAAGATTTATAGACCGGATTGTGATGACTGTACTAAGTAATATATGTCCCCTAAAGGGTTAAAATGTAGGTTTTTAGCTCTTGAATATATTTCTACTTCAGTACCCATATCTCGCTCTCTTATATTAATCCCACCATACAAGATACCCTTTTGATACTACACAGTACATCCGCCTTTGTTGTTTTATTTCTTTCCAGTTAATATGGTAAAGCAGGACATTCTGCAAGGTTGAATGGTCTGCTCATGTCACAGGCTTGTAACCTCACACCTGCACACCCGATTAAGCTGAAAGACAGAGGACTTCAGAGATACAGTATATTTATAGTAAATGTCCATAAAAGCATAGAAAGTCCATAGTGGGGTTAAAACACTGCAAAATAAAGCACCTTAAAGGAACATCTCAATTGATGTTGTTATGGTGCCTAGAGATTTTTTGCACAATCTTACCTTAAATGGTTAAACCATTCAATAATAGTTTCATCCCCTGTGCCCATTCTCCAGGTCCCTGTGTCCTCCTTCAGCCCCCAGCTTCAATGTGGAAGCCTTGGAATGGGCACCGGTGTTGGCTTGGTGCATCAGCTGACACCCTCAAACTATCAGTGGCTTCCCATTGTGAAAAATACATTAGAAATATACGTCCCCAATAGAGCTACAATTGCAGCTAAAGGTGGCTCTACCTAGCATTAGGTGCTTCAACATTTTAGGGCCGTTCTGATATACTGATTTATACTCCTAAAACCAGTTCTATTTCACAGCCAAAAGTCAAAGTCTAAACTAGAATATGTTCTACAAATGACACTGTGATATTAAATGCACAGTATTATTTAAACCTATATATGTAAACTCCACACCTGCTGCATTAACCTCAAGTCAAGCTGTATTAACCCTGCACCCCAATGGAATAAAACCTGCACCCACAGCAATAACCCCACTCTGTGTTTTCTAATCTTATAACATGACAGGAGGCTTCATATTTGCTTTAGTCTCTCTTTACTATAACTCCACAGCAGCACAGAAAAACAACCAATCAGAAAAAGGTTAGGTACTATAAAACTCCCCTCCCCATACATCATTTCCTCTTTCTTTGCTGCTCCGCAGTCAGTACAGGTGAGAGTACCTCTGCCTCCTGCTAATATTAGTTGGGGGCTTTGAGATGTATTACTTATTACAGTTCTTTGTAGAGGTTTATTGGGGGATTTTCTGTGTGTTTTATGCTTTCCTATAATTTTGTTAGACTGTATTTGGACTCACAGTGGGGTCTTTGTGAGCCTTACTGTACCTTCATATATCTTACTGACCTTCTTATATATCCTTACTGTGCCATAGATATCCTTACTGTGGCTTACATTACTTTGCCTTCATTAACTCCCCTCCGCCCTGTCTTTTGCCATTACCCACTTTGCCGTTTTATTTTCGGCGATTTTTTACCACTCGGAGGTCTCAGGAGGCTGTATGCAGCTTGTATGCCTTTGCAGGTTCGCTCCAGCAAAGGCTTTCCTTGTTTATGGCATCAAGTAGTAATGTTAAAGTGATAAGACTTGCTAATGCCCACTAATTACTTACTCTTGTGAACTGACCTAAAGTGAAGGCTTTTACTTGGACCCATTCTCTTTAATATTTTTATTAGTGATATTGCAGAAGGTCTTGATGGTAAGGTATGTCTTTTTGCTGATGATACTAAGATATGTAACAGGGTTGATGTTCCAGGAGGGATAAGCCAAATGACAAATGATTTAGGTAAACTAGAAAAATGGTCAGAATTGTGGCAACTGACATTTAATGTGGATAAGTGCAAGATAATGCATCTTGGACGTAAAAACCCAAGGGCAGAGTACAGAATATTTGATAGAGTCCTAACCTCAACATATGAGGAAAGGGATTTAGGGGTGATTATTTCTGATGACTTAAAGGTAGGCAGACAATGTAATAGAGCAGCAGGAAATGCTAGCAGAATGCTTGGTTGTATAGGGAGAGGTATTAGCAGTAGAAAGAGGGAAGTGCTCATGCCATTGTACAGAACACTGGTGAGACCTCACTTGGAGTATTGTACACAGTACTGGAGACCGTATCTTCAGAAGGATATTGATACCTTAGAGAGGGTTCAGAGAAGGGCTACTAAACTGGTTCATGGATTGCGGGATAAAACTTACCAGGAAAGGTTAAAGGATCTTAACATGTATAGCTTGGAGGAAAGACGAGACAGGGGGGATATGATAGAAACATTTAAATATATAAAGGGAATCAACACAGTAAAGGAGGAGACTATATTTAAAAGAAGAAAAACTACCACAACAAGAGGACATAGTCTTAAATTAGAGGGACAAAGGTTTAAAAATAATATCAGGAAGTATTACTTTACTGAGAGGGTAGTGGATGCATGGAATAGCCTTCCAGCTGAAGTGGTAGAGGTTAACACAGTAAAGGAGTTTAAGCATGCGTGGGATAGGCATAAGGCTATCCTAACTATAAGATAAGGCTAGGGACTAATGAAAGTATTTAGAAAATTGGGCAGACTAGATGGGCCGAATGGTTCTTATCTGCCGTCACATTCTATGTTTCTATGTTTCTATGTTTTAAGCCATCAGTGTTATCACAAGCTCTTGCCATCTGAATTATATTTAAGTGACACAGTATGTGTATAATTTTATATAGGTGGAGGACAATTTATGAAGGTGTTTCTCTGTACATTGGAGTCTGTGCTGCATGGGGATTTCCCTGCAGCTGAGTTTTTGTCTGTGGTTACCTATAAGACTTGGGTGTCTACCAGTTGCCTGGTTTGCGGTTACTCCCATAGGTACCAATGCCTGAAAAACTTTTTATGTATTGGAGCAATTTCCACCTATATACCCTAGGGACCTGTGAACACATCTGCAGATCCTACTCGAACACATGGGCCCTTATGATGGTCGTATGAAACACCCGTGTTTTTGCCTGCTCTGTCTGTGCCCCTATGATTGGCCTGCTCTGCCTGTGCCACTATGATTGGCCTGCTCTGCCTGTGCCCCTATGATTGGCCTGCTCTGTCTGTGCCCCTATGATTGGCCTGCTCTGTCTGTGTCAGATTGATAGACCGATATTAGTCTGTGCCCGAACCCCCTTTGGCCACACTCCTGAGGGAATATTACTCATCCGTATCTCCGTTTCCACTATTGTCAAGGAGACAAGTGGGTGTCCAGGTGGGCACTGCTACCATACTATCTGAGGTGGCACCGGTCTATGTGCACCTAAATATGATTGGAAGGGTGAAGGCCCTATACCTCGTGCACGAGGGACGAGGCTTATACAAAGTTCCCGGACAGGTAGCCACGGCTTGCACCAACCCAGCGGCAACACAGCCTCAAGGAGAGTTTAGCTTTGATGCACATCCAGGGACCAGTGCTCAACACAAACAGGGGTACACGGTAATTCCTGGACTCTTAACAACTAATCCTTTAGCTGCATATCCAGTATTTATTTTCATGTTCAGGTAATTTCTCCCTACGTTTTGCTTAATTCTTGACGATTTCAGTTGGTTTTCCCTATTCTTGGCTCTCCCTGTCTGTTTACTTTCCTTGCCTCCAAGGTATGTAGTTTCCTTTTCCGAACTTTTCTCTAGCTTGTCGCTTTTGCTTCGTGTTTCTGACTTTTCCTATTGCTCGGGTCATCAAGAGGACTGACTTGGCCTCCTCCAACTTCCTGAGCTCTCGTGAATCGCGGAGAACGCCTCCAGCGTTTCCTCAGGCTACCGGCGACCACCCTGGATCCCGCACACTTGCACAGGATCCAGGCGGTCGTTTGTAGATTCCATATCTTTTTCTAGCTATTACATATTCTCGGCCTGTCCCCAGCATTAAACTCTTGGACAAGGCCCTTAGACTGGACCTTATCAGCTATATTTACTCTCAGTTTAAGTACACCTCTCAGATGACTGATACAGAGCGTGATTTCAAGGTTCAGAGGGGAATCCCTCTTGGAACCTCAGCCCGACTCAAATAGTTTAAAGGGCGAGCTCCCTGCCTACAATCAGTCTGAGACTGATATGGGCTCTCTTTTGCATGAAAAGAGGGTGCAGCCCTTTCATAACCTCAGCTCGAAACGAAGGCTTATTTACAGGATTAGAGGGAACCCCCCTCATATTCGGAGCCTGACACTAAAATTCCTAATAGATGGCACGACCCTCCCCTAACCTCAGCCAAGGCTGATATTGAGGCTATTACAAGTTTGGAGTGTGATCCACTCTCATATACGGAGCCAGACACTGGCATACCCACTGAGTTTTATTAGAGGGTACGGCCCTCTCACACTATCAGCCTGAGACTGGCAAGGATACCGTTTACATTACTTGAGAGTGCGGTTCTCTTGCACATTCAACCCGCTGCTGAGCTTCCCTCATGTACACAGGCCAAGATAACCAAGTATACTGGTTCCTCAGTTTACCACTGGCACGATAGCCTTCTTGCAGTACTGGATTCTGCACCCCTCAGGAGGGCGAACCTGTCGCTGGTCACTACCCAACAAGGTTAATTATCTTACTGCCGACCCTGGTTTATCTTACGGGTTTAGGTCAGTACAGGACACTGGTGTCTTCATAGAAGGGCGTCCCGCCTAAGATCAACTCAATTCGGAGGTCTGTGCTAACCACCATGGTTTACCTCATTGGATGAGCGAGGAGACGCTACTTAACAGTGACTGGGTAAGAGGAGAGAACCCCTCCATTAGACCTCACGCCTGGGCTACTATTTCTCTAATAGAAGTGCTACCTGTTCGGACATGATATCGCATGATTAAACCAGCTCTCACTGCTACATCCCCTATGATTGGTGTGCTGGACCCATGCCACTATATTCCCACTTGGGGTATGCCCTCTGAGGTGGTACGGAGGGATATTCCCTACCTTTTTACATGTTTCCCTGATGCCTTATTGGACAGGGTAGGGGCCGCTAGGAACTGACTGTCTAGAAACAGTCTCTTGGGAGTGGCCCACTTTGGTGGGTACCCTACAATTCCCTGTTGGATTTATACCTGAAGGTTGCACGGCTGATGAGGGAGCCCCAGTTATTACAGGTGTGTAGGTTTTGGTATAACCGGCTTTGTACCGAACAAGCAAGTGCAACCTGGTTATGTTTTGACACACTGACTAGACAGTTTTTTCCCCTATCCAGGGTAAGATGTGATTTTGAGGCCTTCATAGAGTGAACATGCACTGCCTTACTCGGACAATGGTTAAGTCCCACATTCCCGGTCGGCAGGGACACTGCACGCCTTGGTCGAAAGACCGGAATTCCCGGTCGATTTTGGCTCACCTGGCTGTTAGGGGATAGGTTACAGATTTGCCCCAATTCCTCTGCCCCAATTCCAATTCCTCTGAGAACGTATCTGGAGAACACTATTTGGATATAGAGGAACCTCCTCCCATACACTAGGCGCCCCATGGAAGCCATCCTGGGTCTTATTCTCGGTTACTGCCTACTCAGATACCGACAAGGAGGACAGTTTCCTATGGGGGAACCCTGCTTGACATCGAAGCCCACTCGGAC